TGCTCTTCCGATCTCTCGGAGACTTGCACATAATTTCGTAAAAAGCAAATACAAATTTCTAAAAATGAAATCTCTGACTTAGAAGTCTCGTTGGCACGCATATAATTTAATAAAAACAAATACAAATTTCTAAAAAAGAAATCACTCACTTAAAAAATTTCATATAAAAACTTTTCTTGCATACAAAATAAAACATGTAAAAAAAATTTAGTTCAATGTATAATACCAAATAGAGATTTAAAAGCAAAAAAGTATTTTTAATCATAATATAATATAATTGTAGTGGAAGATTGAAAATCTCAAAATTGAGATTAAGCATCAAAGATTGTTACAAAATAAAAAATAATTGCATATTTTGGCATATTCCAAATAATGTTTGTATAAATAGATGTATGTATATTAAACCATGAAATTCTCAATAAATTTTATTGTGCTGTTTGATATATATTGAACATTCTGATTGAGATATTTATATATTATATTCTTTTACACCCAAATTAGATTAGTAAAAGTAAAATACGTCTTGCATGAGAAGAAATATATTACAGTTTTCTAATTTGTTTAAGTGCAATTATTTCTTAAGTACATTGTTAACTAATCTTTTGATTAATCGATTATAGAAGCCTCTATTTTTTTTATATTTATTTACAGATTTACTACTATATTGACTCACTGACCTTGATTTACTTCGACTGACTTTCGAATTTCAAAGTTTCACCAACGAAGAAAGATTCTAGTTTCTCCAGTACAGTGATTCAGTAACTAGGAAAGGAGAAAGATGCGGATTTATAATGCAGTATGCTCCAGCAAGGCTCGTCTGGATGGCAAAATTACCGTTATAACAGGTGCAAATACCGGAATCGGCAAGGAGACTGCTAGAGATTTTTACAGTAGAGGTAAATATTAATTTTTAATCAACAAATTGAGTGAAAACGGTAATTTTATCGCGTGTGCATATGTATCCGGCGATGAGTGTAAGTAGGAATTCGTGTGCAAATACGCAATTTATTATAACTTTTTTGTGAGTATAAAATATTATTTCTCAATGAGAAAAAATCGAAGTTTTAAACCACTTTTTTCTCCCAGAACCTGCTTAACAGAAATATTATTAATTGTATATTATTAAATAAACGAAATCGTAATATTATTAATATTACGAATTCGATTGGACGCATTAATGTGAACCAAATTAGCTGTCGTCTACAAATCGACGTAAAAATAAATAGTAAGAAAAGTACGCATTAAGTGTTTCAATGAAATTCACCACAACTCAATTAATTTTCATGAGTAAATTAAGAATAGTTATACAGAAGAATAGTTACAGTGGTTGATATACAGGGTGGGGAAAAAGTACCGGGACACCTTAATAACTTCTGAACGGTTCGAGATAGAGGATTGAAGTTTATAGGATTCAAATGGTGTTATAAAATCTATCATTTAATATCAAAAAGGCCATTTTAATACCCTCGGGGGCGGGGGGAAAGAGAGCAGAAAAATCTTAAATTGCACGTGGGGTCGAGTGAGGGCTCGTTTGAAAGGGCCTATAAAGGTCCTGTGTGTGTGTGTGTGTGTCTCACTTTCCTACACTTGCTTAGTTGGTTACACATACATCCAGTTTGCGTGTACACACACACACACCACATTCCTTCCGACATGCACTTTTATCCACACGTTCAAAGTCTTTTGCACGCGCAAAGTTTTTTTCACGTTCTCGCCTTGTGCTATATTTAGATGTTATAGATGGTTATATAAACGCGGATTATAAACAGTTTTTATTATACTAATATTACAGATGCGCGCTTCGCGCGCACTATTTAGCAATTTTTATTTTTTATTATATTTGCTATTATAATATTGCCTCTACACAACTGTTAAAGTATGCAATGACAGCCGCTCACGAAGTAAGCACTACGAGAGGACCAATCAGCTTCGCAGAAAAGCGACAAAAATAAATTTCGATTAAACTTTCATTATTTCAATATTTTCCTATTTTTATCTTATTATTGCATATTGCTGATCGTGTATTACGTAATATTATAGTATAATTTTTACTGAAAGAGACATGAGAATAATAATGAGCTATTAAATGAATCTTAATATTAAATAAAATATTGAAATAAAATTAATATAAAATAATACAATAAATAATTACATATAAATTTTATGTTTAGGCGCGAGAGTGATTTTAGCCTGTCGGAATGTGGAAAAAGCAAAAGTCGCAGTTAAAGATATAAAACATAATCCATTTTCGAGGTAAATGTACGAAATTATATTTAAGTTTGCATTAATATTTATTACAAAATTGCTAGACATAACAGTTATTTGTTATATACGGAAATTTGAAATATTAAGCAATATGTGTCGCATCAAGTGGACACGGGACAGACAAATCGAGTATCGCGAGCCACTTAATTAAGCAGAAATCGATTATTGGATTTCATAATAACTGAACTGATTAAGCTTTAATGCTTTGATGTGTAACTGAAGGCTTTATTGCATAAAAAGAGTTTCTTTAGTTTTGCTCTTGATGCAACCTAGATATTTAATATTTTAACGCAAAATCCTAATCTTTAAAAATATAAATAAAACAAGAATTGCAGCTACCTCTAAAAACTTGTAAAATATAAGAATATAATATTTATAACTTTTTTTGTAACTTTAGTAAATTTGGATTTTATTTTATTATAAGAATATATTAATATATTTATTAATATAATACTTTTTTAATAATCTATTATAAACTACATTGAAAAGAAACAAAATACAGTAATCATTATGCTTATCTACAATGTGCTCTTTGCTTCCTGCTTTTTGCTTTTTACCTCTTGCCTTTTTTTTTCTTTGCGACCGTTTTATCGATAATCGTGTTTCTTGTCATGTGTTTCCTGTCTCTTTCGAAGTTCGTTAACATTTATCCTGGGCAAAAATAAAGGATCGGGATGTAAGAGGCAAAAAGGCAAGAGTGGTAAAAAATGGTAAAAAGCAAAAAGCAGGAAGCAAAGAGCACATTGTAAATTTATTCTAATATTTAGCAAAAGGAAACAAGCTGAAGGCAAGCTAGGCGACCTTGCGGTCTATCCGTTGGATCTCTGCAGCTTTAAAAGCATACGGGAATGCGCTCGGATGTTATTGAAGCAGGAACCGGCCATTCATATATTAGTAAATAATGCCGGTATAATGTTTGCTCCATATCAGCTAACTGATGATGGATTCGAGATACAGCTGCAATCGAATTATCTTGGACATTTCCTCCTAACGTTGTTATTATTGCCGAAAATGCAATCGTCCGCTCCTGGCTGCAGGATAGTCAACGTGTCATCACTGGCTCATATATGTACGTAAAAAGTAAAACAGAGAAATTAGATGTGAGAAATATAAAGAAAAGATTATTAAATATTATATATGTATTATTATTTATTATCGTAAATATGTTGTATTTTTTGTATGTTTGGAATTCATCGCGTTTGCAATACTTAGACTATGCATAGACTAGATTAATTACAATATTTATTTGAAAAGTATTAATTATATTATATTATAAAGAATTTTAAAAATTTTCTGTACGCAACATAAGAACTGTTTAGAAATTATTTAATTAATTTATATATATATATATATATATATATATTATTGTTGTGTTATTAATATATAATAGTATAATAATAATTAATATACAAATATAATATAATATGTTTAGATTATTAATATATTATAATATATCAAATAATAATTAAACATTAAATAATATCTCTTACAGTTGGCCGAATACATTTCAATGATATAAATCTGGAAAAATCGTGGTGGTACCTTCGTTCTTATATCGCATATTATCAAAGCAAACTGGCGAATATATTGTTTACGAAAAAACTTGCACAGCTAATGAAAGGTAAAGAAAATAAAATATTATGTTCGAATCAAAACTAATATAACCCGATTATATTATGTGAGCTATTTAAAAAGATTAACAATATTTTTATTTTATTTACAATAATGGCATATTAAAAAGGTATTACATTTATTATATAAGAATTATCTGTGGTTGCCATTTAAAAATGTAATTTGGCATATATGTATAATCATTATACATTATATATATAAATTTTTTTGGCGGATTAAAATTATCTTGAAAGATAATTAGATATTACCATACATATTTAATTAGATAGTATTTATAGAAAAGTGGATAAAAAACGTAATAAATTAATAAAAAGTCTTAACCATTTTTTATACGAATTTAATTTTCAGAGACGAATAGCGGTATAAATGTATATTCTTTACATCCCGGTGTGGTAAGAACCGAATTGAGTCGAAATTATGATAACATATTTCCGGGTGGGAAGCTTTTTTTCCGATATGTTATGCGGCCATTCATAAAAAATTCGGAACAAGGAGCTCAAACAACGATATACTGTGCGGTTGACGAAAAGGCGGCTAATGAGACTGGTCTCTATTATACGTAAGGACAATTAAGCTATGTGATAGCACACTCTTTTGTAAATTATATTATTAAACATAATGTAAATTCTAAATTTAATATAAGATCAATGCGAGCTTCAGGCACGCTGCATGCATGTAAACGCGATAAAAATTTAAATATTTTTCTTTTTTCTCACTTATGTGTAATTTACCTATTCATACTGCACGGACCGAGTTCCTCTTTATCTGTCTCGCGATTTCAATCTTTTATCAATTCTTTTTAACAATTGTGATATTTGTCATATGCTTTTAATAGAGAATGCTGCGTTACCAGACCATCGGAGGCTGCGAGAAATGATCAAATAGCTGAAGATTTATGGAATTACACTTGCTGGCTTCTGCGTTTGGAACCTAATAAAGACTTTTCTAAATTTTTGAAAACTGTCTCGCGTCAACTTAATAAGTAATATTTCTTTAACTGGATTTTATCTTATACTTTTCATGAATTTACATACTTTGAATAATATATAGTATACGTAATGATAACACACGTTTTCCATTTTCAAAAAGAAAAGTATTTTTATAGCTACTTTACATATGTACATAAAATATCAAAAGTTGTGACATTTATTTTAATTACTTTATCACAGATATCAAATATTGTAATAGGATCACAATATGTGTTAAGGTAAAAAATATGGATACGTATATAATCTTGTATCTTATTAGTGTTAGATTAATTATTCTTTAATGGAAGCGCTTAGTATAGTCTATTTGACAGTATAGTATATTCGATAATATAACAACGGTTAAAAGAAAACAAATTTATTTACAAGAGATTTACATTTTTAAACTTTAAATTATTTTATTATACAATAACTTTTAATACAGATTTACGTTACTGATTAAAAATTGTTATAGCGAAAAGTAAAATGTAATTAACGTTAGAATTTATGTATTATGTATTAATAAAGGTTAACATTTAATAAATGTTAACATTTTAAGATAGTTACAATTATAGACAAGACTTAATAAAATTGGTAGTATGACTGTCAATCTTTTGTATTCTCTTTTTAAATATTTCATAGTTTCGACAATATGCTATATTTATTTAAAAAAGATGCTGGTAATGTAACAATACTTAAAACAACTGTACACACATACATACGCGCGCACGCAACGGTGATTATCATATCGTACAAATATCTGCGTTTATTATTGGCTCGTATGAACTCAAATTCCATTTGTACAAAATGTGTATCTTGAATAATAATTAAGTGGCTGACCTGTACATATTTAAAATAAGAAATCACGTTAAAACTGTCCACAATCTTCATAACTGTTATATTTGCAATTGTATGACATTCTTTCCTTATATATTATTCAATTCCATTTTTACTGAACTTGTTTTTGAGATATGAACATATAGGCTACATTGCATGTAAATATTGCATGTATTATTGTACGTTGAATAGCCGAACGAAGCGAGTTTAGTGAAATATAAAGACAGAACTCGGGTGTATGTACATTAGTGTTACAGTAGACGAGAAAATATCATAAGATGTGGATGCTCTTCAACAGAATATGCACTAGCAGAGCGCGTCTCGACGGCAAAACTGCTGTTATAACGGGAGCAAATAGTGGAATTGGCAAAGAGACTGCTAGAGATTTTTACAGAAGAGGTAATTTGATTTAAATTTATATTGTCTCCATTGTTCGGAATCTAATGATCTTCCGATAATAAGTAAAATAGCTTTATTAATCAATGATTCATTCAGAGTGAGATATCTTAATTATTTTTATCTCATTTTTCATTCAACGAGTTAATTTCTTATTGGAAAAAATTTAATTAACACAAACATCTGATATTACGCAGAAAATCACGTTTATTTTAATTTATTCAAAATAAAGAAAATATTTTAGTACTATTTTTACTTCAATGTAATTAAATGCTTCTTAAATATTAGAATTGATGACGTACGTATCATTTTGTAGATTATTAGAAAAAATTTTTATTATTCTTTAAATATAAACGAAAATCAGTTCTTCAAAAAATTCTTTGAAAATAATCTTAAAAATTATCTTATGTAAGTTTCTTTAATTTCTGACAGTATATATATCACAGATTTTATTTAATATTTATATCAATGAATTATTATTATTTAATATATTTTAAATTTAATACAAGTTGGAGTAATATACATGCACATATGTTTTTTAATCTTTAATATTAATTGAATATAAAAGTTTATTATCTTTACAAAAGCGAACTTATTTTCTTATGTAATCAACGCTAATTTTGTAAATTCATAGGGTGCACGTTTAATTATAGTGTGTCGTATTAATTATCATTTTCTCAAAATTTTTATAAATTAGAAAAAATTAATGATTTAAGTTATAACGAATAAAATAGACAAAAGAGTGTAGTTGATCAGTAAAGTAGAGTAAAAAAAATTGAATGACATAGAGTATATTAATTTTTAAGAAGAGATATTTAGATGCAAACAATATTTGTATTTAGGTGCTAAGGTGATTCTTGCCTGTCGAAATATAGAACTGGCAAAGGAAGCAGTCGAGGACATAAAAAATAATCCACCTTCAGGGTATATAAGAATCCAAATTGGAAGAAATTAGATTTAATTATCTGTAAATTTGTATAATAATTCGTGTTCCCGACTGATATTAGGATTGATGAGGGCGAGTACCGAAATGGTGCAGGCGAGCTCGCAATTTATTTCTTGGATCTCTGTAGTTTGAAGAGCGTAAGAAATTGTGCTAGAAACTTATTGAAAAATGAAGCAACCATTCACATACTCGTAAACAACGCCGGCGTAGTGCTGCTTCCGTTCAAAAAAACTGAGGATGGACACGAGTTGACGTTACAGACAAATTATCTAGGTCATTTCCTCCTGACGCTCTTACTGCTGCCAAAAATGCAATTATCCTCTCCTGGCTGTAGAATAGTCAACGTCTCTTCCATATTGCATCTTCGTATGTAAGACCGCATTAGCGGTTTCAGAAAGAAAGACTCTATATTTCTTCGACTCACACTTGAGCATTATTTATATTTACTATTATCTATATATCGTAATTGTTTAAGAAAAAGATATGTAAGAAAATGGTCTATTACAGTTGGTGATATAAATTTCGATGATATTTATTTGGAGAGATCTTACAAGGAATGGCCAGCTTATAATCAATCCAAACTGGCGAACATTTTATTCACCAAGGAACTTGCACGTCGATTACAAGGTGAACAGAAAAAGATATTACGAAAGGAGCAATAAATTGTCATTTACTGTTGTACAATGGATCGTATGCCGTTTGTTTGACGAATTTTATTTAATAATCAGTTGTTATTGCCACCATCGACTCATAAAGACATACATGTCTTATTTTTATAATAATATCATTTCTTGATTTTTTAGAGGCAAACATTAATGGAATAAACGTGTATTCCTTGCATCCCGGTCTCATACCGACAAAAATATTACGGCACAGCGATAATTTTCTATTTCCGGGAACATACTATTGCTTTAATTTATTTGCGAGCATATTTTGTAAGAACATTGTGCAAGGAGCGCAAACGACAATATACTGTTCAGTGGACGAGAAAACAGCTAATGAGACTGGACTCTATTATTCGTAAGAATGCATTTAACAAAAATTGTATTAACTATATATTATTGTTATGATGATGCAGTATTTATAACACAGCAAACGAGAGAATTTTAATCAGATATTTTACTTTTTAAGAAACGATATTTTTACATAATCCTTAATTTGATAGAAACTGTAACGTCGCCACTCCGCAATGGAGAGCGAGGGACGATCAATATGCTAAAAAATTATGGAATTTATCTTGCCGGCTTTTGGATTTGGAGCCTAAAGCAGATTTTATCACATTTTTAAAAGATGTCTCATGTCAACTTACAGAATAAAAAGAATATATTTACTGCAGTACATCATATATATTGATCCATGTACGTAAAATCTAATTTTGAAGATGATAGATAAATAAATAATCTTCAAATTAAACCGTAATTAATTTGAGTTAATTAAATTTTGTAGCGTATATTATTAATGTCAATCAAATCATCACATTATTATTTTTGCATTAATTGTAATTAAATATAATTGTTTTATATTTTTCACAGTCTCTTTTTTGAAATCGCTTTCTACAAGTGAATGTTCAGTCCAATGACTTTTAGCCTTGCTGCTTGTTTATAATCGTATATTGCTGTTAGAATTAGGCCACGATTTTTATGATTGTGATTGACAATATAAATCTGATGGCATGCCATGGTTTTTAAACACAACACTATGATTAATGTTCGTGGGAGACCCACGAACAGGATAATCGTGATTTTATACTTTCTCCTAAAAGAGGTCGGTGACGGGCGGAAACATCCACCTTCGATGTGCAAACGTATATCAGCTGTCGACGGAAAAACTGGTAGCGTACATTATGCAGCGGCTACATCGCTGCGAAATCGCGTTAACATTGACACTCGAATGTCTGGTGGTGATGCAACACGCCATGAAATATCTAATAATATAATATACGCGCGGCGTGTCGTTTGTTATTTAAGATACGCATGTTCTAAAGCGGCTTGCATTGGACATATGTATACTAATCATCGAGTTATTTTCATACGTGATGAAATCTGGCTTTCATTAGAGAGGTATCTCACGTATCAATCGATAAAAATAATGTCGAACCAGAGTTATTAAGATTCCACCGGTGCGGAAATGCATCATCTATTGGCTGAAGCTTTTAAAATCTATTATTACCGGGAAACAGGTAATTCGCATCTCCATATGTCGCTATCTAAGTATATATTATTTTTAAGAGTATAGATTGCATAGAAGTATATATAATACATATTTCAAGTCTGTAAATTGTAATTTGTTATTACATTCTCGAAAAAAATGAAAAATATTATCAATTTTTATACATCGCGTTTATATAATTATATATAATCTGTCATATTGCGCATTTTGTTAATTATACCGCATTGCTGGAAACGAAGGGCAACAAGTTACGTAAACGTATATGACCGCCCTGATTGCAAATTAATTGATACACAATTCAAAAGCAATTCTTGATACACAATTCAAAAGCATCGATGAGACTGTTTTTTTTTTATCCAAAGTCTAAGTCTAATTACTAAAAAGTTACGTGGGTATACGTATAATTACGAGGTCTCTGCTTCTTGCCTCGACGATACACCGGGTCTAGGTAAACGTGAAAAGCGAGCAAGGCCAAAGTGAAGGCAACATCGAGTCCGGCATTGAGTTGCGCGATGCTTGAAAGAAGAGTATGGAGTAACGTAACGATGATGCAATCATCGCGGCTCCACCGAGGCCTACCTCTGCGCTAAAAGGAGCAATAAGGGTATCAAAAGCCTTAAACATGTGCGATTCATGGTGCCTTGTCATGTAAAATTATTTAATAATACGATATGATTATAAAATATATAGAATACCCCATGATAATATATTATTTATATTTATCGATTCTGAAAGTTTTAAAGAATAGATCTATTATATTATCTGAATTGGCTCTGTACTGTACTGCTTTCTTTTAGCTGTATCATCTTCTGCATTATCTCTTTCTTTTTCTTGCCTACTCTCTCTCTCTCTCTCTCTCTCTCTCTCTCTTTCTCTCTCTCTATTTATATATCCATATCTATGTTCTTTCAATGTATCTATATCCTTTCAATAGATCTATATCCTCTTTGATTATTAATTCTTGAAGCTCCTTTCCTAGCAAGATGACGCGTTAAATCGAACAATACATTTTTCTGTTAGGCGATATTATTGATGCAAAGCTCTTCGTTCCGAATGACAGTTTTGTCTACGAAGAGGTTGCGCCGTGGTTGCGTTCAGTCGAGCGGGCGATAGCTTTTTGTGGAATGAATGTTGTAATGATTGGCTTATTGAATGAGAATATTTTAAACGGATCTTTTTGTGTGAGATTAAAATGGCAATTGATGGCCTTTCATACTACTTATATACTAGCGTTCCCACCGAAAAGAAAAGTAAGTTTTTAGATATCACAGGAGAATTGTTTCTAGCAAGGGAATTTAATTAACATTACGTAGAAAAAATTTATTAGGATTAATTTACCGTGTTATTACCACGTTACACATAGAAATAAAATAAGTAAATACAAGTATATAAAATCTACGGACTTTTAGTATTTTATTTATAACTTATAGTGTTATTTAATATTTAAATCTTTACTATTTAAATCTTATAAGAATCGATTAAAAGTTTCCGTTGAATGTCGTTTATACATAATAAAAAATAAATGTTTTCAATTGAGATTTTTTTTAAATATTCGATGATTTTGTCATCTCTGGTCAACGATCTCGGGTGAATGTCCGGCGACAAGGATATGCAGGCGTCTTCGAGGGACAATACAAAATTGACGCGCCCACGTTATTTCATCTGGTATAGTATTTTGCATGGTAACGGTGCGAAATTTTAAGTTCAGCAATTACGTCATGTGTCGCGAGCGTTCGTCGCAAGAAGGCATGCCAGATCTAGTTTCATCCGACAGGTAGGCGGTTTACCATATTTCGCTATCCAGCCATAACAGTCTCAGTACGAGTCCACTTGCATAAATTACCACCGAAATTACTGAATTCCCACAGTTATTCGCGGTAATTTAGCAACATTCTTACACGCGCGATCGAAGAAGACGATAATGGAGTGTCTCTACGCTATTCGCATTTCTAACACCTTTCTTTTTAGAGTTTTGCAGTACATCAGATAATGGCGCAATATTCTCAGTTGATTCTAAAGTTTTCTGAAGTCAAAAAATTTGTGAAATAAAGAAAAACCAATAGCCCCTCGAAAATATTCACAATGAAAAAAGGTATGTTGTCTTTAACAGTAGATTTTTCATTTTTTTCTATCTTTTCTTTTTCATTGGTCATCGATTCAACTAATAACCGAGTCACACAGCGGGGAATCTTAAAATATATATCCTTGATTCTTGAAAATATTCCAGCCATGGTCATCGATTGGCGCTTAAAGACACATGTTTAGTAATGTTCGCCTCGCGTTCACGTAGAGTGATCACGAAGGTGATCATTATGTTGCATTTTCCCGCTCTGCAATTTCTACATGTGCAAGAAATATTTCCGGCGTTTCGTAAAATTTCACGTTGACGTTAGCAGTATCTATTCAGACACTGAGAATGTATTCCTGGGTTCTTGATCAAAGTCGATTGAATGCGATTTTAAGTTTCAATGCGATTTCACACTTTGAAATCGGTGCAAAATGCGAGACAAAGAATCGCGTTTAAATGGAAATCGTGTTCATTGTGGTGCGATGTGATGTTGGAATTCAAAATTTGCTATGGGAAAATTCTCTACTAGCTTGCAATTTTGTGAGACATTCTGCATAACGCTTCACTATTATCGAAAATACAATAGGGAAATATGCGTGTATCTATAATTTCGCTTACCTACTCACAAAATTCCTATTATTGCTATTTTAATATAAATAAATAACAACTAAAAATTATATTATTTGTTTAAACAAAAATTTAAATATTATAATATAAATAAATTTATCTAATAATTTCGATGGTAATGCAAATGCTGCGACTATACTGTTTCATTTATAACATGTGAATCAATTTTTAAAAAATTATGTTAAGATACTCTGAAGAAAGACGAAATACATATATCACTTTACGTATCACATATGAAACAATTTCTATTGTGCAGATTCTTTTGAATTGCTGATCGCTCGTATCATTAGTTACATCAGCGTTACCTCGAAAACTCAGGTGTCAAATATAATATTCAGCAGTTATTCAGAGAACACCGCGCAAAATTCAGATTACATTGCAATTTCGTAATCATTATGCGCATATTTAGGGAATAAATAAATACTGGACGCCCAATCAGCGTTCGATTGTTTATCTATCGAAATCGTCGGTGTCCGAGACACGATCGAACCGTAAAGGAAAATTGCGTGGGTCTCGGTCTGCCCTACCAACTACGGAGCCTTGGGCTCACTTTACGTGTAGGCCGTAAGTGCGATCCTGCTTTGACTTGGTAGGCTTCGTTTCGATCAGTAATCGGGCACGATTAAGCGCGACGAGACTGCCCGCGAGCACCCGTACTCGCGCGAAATTTGGAGCTCGATTGAATCCCCGGTCCGTCTTTCTGCCTCCGTCGTTGAAATCTCCCGGCTAGAATGCGACGGGGACTCGCCTCCGTCCTGTCGCTTGTGGTGAGTTCTGCTTTCCTCGCTAGCTGCAAATCTGCCATCGACAATGTGACTTGAATGTGCTTTTGAAAGTCTGACTAATATCATTTTCCACCTGGATGACAACATATCTTTTAGGACTTTTTATTTTTGCATTGATGTCGTGTTGGTTCAACAGTGCAATATTTCTTTTTTAAATTGCGTTTTTTAAAATCTATCACTACAACACGCAACTTTTTGGTAAATTAAATGTTTTGTTTTAAAAACATGACTGTCAATATATATTTATTTTTATAATAATTGATATTGTCAAAAATCTTTGTCTTTATGTTTTTTATATGTTTCATATATAATACGTTTTTTATATTTTATTTTGACAAAAGAGAAACATTATTACTGGCATTCAATAAGCTTAAATCATTATATCAGATTGAAATTAATTAATTATTAGCAAGTAATAGTAATTTAGCAATATTCAAAAATAAATGCAAAATATTTAATTAATATTTATAACATACATATGTAATTATCTATTTAATTATTTCCATTTTTAAGCTGCATTATCTTTATTTATAGCCGTAATAATTATTACCTAATAAGAAATAAACAGCGTCAATTTATGAGAATCGTGCGTGCGAGTGCCTCGTTACCAGCGTGCTAAAACGCTTGATTATTAATGCCGAATAAAAACGTCAATTCAAGTATCTTTATGATATTAGAATATTAAGAATTTCCCGTCTGTACATAATAACGATGTTTAGCACGATAAGATAAACGAAACAAGAGACAAAACAAGGAAACGATATGCTTATAGTAATATGGGAGGCGTCGACTGGCGGATACAGCGCAATGTCAGACAGTATCATTCATACGCATCGGGATTACGAGTACGTGATTCTATCAATTTCCCGGAGCGTAAGTCTGCATGTGCCGACCGTGAGAACTTAATTTCACGACGACGACGACGACGTTCCTTTGTGCGAATCATTGCATCGCGTGCGGGAGTGTAAAACTGTTCGTTTGTACGCGCTTCTCTTTTCTTCTCCATCGCGCGCTTCGCACCCCGTGAGTATCGCGTGTGCGATACGCGATCTTCTTAATTATTAAACATGCGATTCTCATTTGTCAGTTTGTTTATTACATTAATACTTGTTTGCATTGCGCATGGGGAATACGATAGAAAATTAATATTTTCGTGAGAAAATCGATATTTTCTTAGGAATATTGCTTAACGAGATATGTTTCGAGAGTAGAAAAGTAGGACAAATTGATTGAGGTATCAAAATATTAACGTAAAAATAAAAAATCCCGAAAAAAATAACTTTTTTTGAACAAATTTGTGATAAAGAGAGATCGATTTGATTTCCAACTAGAAAACAGTTTGTCGATGAAGTGAGTTCGAAATAATTTTAATATTTAATGTATAAGAAAATATTGATTACACAATATATTTGTTAAGACATAATGCAGGACTCTATTATAATTTTTTAAATATGAATAAAAAACAGACTTTGTACTATAGTGTCATCTTAATTAATCTCTCCATACGAATCTATTACAAAGAAAGTGCTTTCGCAATCAATGCCATACATGTACATGTTATGGCACTGATTTCGCGAATCATCAGAACAAGCTTCCAAAATTTCGCTATCAAAATCGACTATCGCACACGCACACGTACACGCACATGCATGCGACACGACGCGACGACGTGCGGCGCCTATCCACTCGGCACGCCGCGCCGCCTCTGCTCTCCTCTCGTAAAAGTGAAAGCGCCGCGTCGTAAGCGCGGCAAGCGAAGGAGAAAATACGCGGTAAGGCTCGCTCGAGCGTCAGATGGAAGGCAGAACGCGGGGCCGAGTCGAGTTCGTCCGTCGTGTATTCCGCGGGCATGACAGATGATCTCGATATCGCGGACAATTCACTTTATCGATAAACATTTTTAATCGATTTCTCTTTTTCGCAAATTTATTCAAAGTCATTCTTTTCAAGATTTCTTGATTTTTTATGTTAATATCTTACTTGATATCTCACTTCTATCATAGTCCGATTGAAATTGTAGATAAAAAGATTATTATTAGTAATGCCATGAGCGTTAAAAAGCTCAGTTCTTTTTTTAAATTATAAGTCGATTTTATTTAATGGAAATATATAAAAGCCATGTGTCTACAAATAATTAATCATGATTTTTTTCAACTTTGGAATTATCCATAAAAATGTTCGCGTAAAATAATTCACGTACTGTCTGACGTAAGGAAAGGCTCTGGTCAAAAGACCAGTCACTCTCTTTATGTCTTTGTTCCGAAGGGACGCGAATGAGGTACACTCCCACGCGCCTCGGACAATCACGAGAGCGAATCTTGTCGCCGCTCTCGACGGCTCTGTCCTACCAGCACGACGTTTTTAAAAGTAGGAAGAAGTGATAGGATATAAAAGCAACCTAAGCACAGTTTTCGATTCGCCAGCGATGAAAGAGGGAAACGTGCTCAATGACGTTCCCTTGGTATTCTTCCAATCCGCTGCGAATTAAAAGTGGAGTTACCTTATTAAAATCTTCTTTTGCATTCCGAGTGATTTCTTTCGCTGTTTTACAACATTATATAATGAATTAATAGAGTTGTACGATTTATGATAAAACGATGCAAGATTTTACTGACGTAACAATTATTTCTCTTGTGTATTACATCTTTGCACATCCTACACACTTCTACTTGACTACTTTAGAGCTTTCACGACGCGCGAGATATCTCTGCACTTTCGATTTCACACGATATTTATGAAATTATAAATGTAACGAACGTCGAAGGCGTCACCCGTGGAGCGTTGGATGCTGTTTATTTCTCGTTGTCCGCATCTCTACCCGTGGAAACGCGATATCGTTCACTGTAACGCGAGGAAACGGAGCCTCCGCAGCAAAACCGGATTTCACGCTGCGCTGGAAATTACTTATCCTGATCGCGGCGATACTCTCGAGGAGACGTTAACTTCGTAGACAGAATTTCATTTACTTCATTTACCTCTCTATCGCGCGCGACTCCCTCGCCCGCGGCCCGCGTCCGCGCACCGCGATAACGTCTGCTTCTACACATCGCCGGCAAAAAACGCTTTACAGCTGTTTTTGTAAGCTATACGCTTTCTCGACCGAACGATCCGTTTGATATTCATTAGCTGAAAAAGCATGTCGTTACAACGGAGCTGAATTTACAAGTATGATCAGTATAAGTATATACGCAGAAACAAGGCCTGTTTTTTCGATAAAGGACCTTTCAATTTTTTGTTCCAGAAAAGTACATGTACCATTAAAACTTGAAAATAAAATTATTAACTGTTACAGAATCATCGAATAATTATTAACCAATGAAATCACGTTTATTTATAGATGAAAATATTTACGTTATTGCATGTCATATATATAGCTTCCCGATGTGTTTGATTAAAAACTTTATTAAATCGTTCTCTGTGTCATCCATTTCAAAATAGAAAAATACGAATTGAAAACATGATTCTGCTATTCTCTGTCTTATGCATATTATTTCTACGAAGTAGAGATGCGCACATGTGGCGACACGTACGTCACCATTTGTCAATGTGTGTCAAGCTAGCGACGCGAGATTAGAGACGAGGCAATTTTTTACGCAAATGACAAATTCTTCCGGTGACTAAAAGGAATGTCAGGTTAGCGGCGTCCGTTTCGACAGTTATGATTATGGGTAATGCGAACGATGATTACGGAATGGTGATTACCTGACCCGAAGATGACGCAAATGTGCGAGATGACATAAAGTTACAACGTTTCTTCCGGCTATACTGTCCGTCGAGGTCCTGGGAACGCTGTATCAAGGATGCATGTTGTGGGAATCTAACGCAATGTTAATAAAAGTGGCACACATTGGATTTCTTTCGATTTTTTGAATAAAAAAGAATATGCAGATTGATTCTAAAAATCTGTGTACAACGCGTAATTTAATCGATAATTGGAAAATGCATGTAAAGTATCTTCTTGATTGACACATCCTGGATAATATCCTTGAGTTGTAATTGGTGTAATTAGGATTGATTATATTCATAAAAAGGATATAATTATTTGCGATTTATAAGTGAATCTTACAACACTGCATATTATCGTTTATATGTATTAAGATAATAGAAAATATCACGTAATGCATATGTGCATTTTTTATGATATTTTGGAATTGAAAATATTCTGCTCTCTGAATTGCCTTTTCAAAATTTAATTGTTCAAGATAAATCTCAGTCAAATTCACAGTCAGATTCACAACAATGTTTTAAAATATTATCTATACATCTTAAGAGATACGCTACCTGTATCGTGAGTATCAATTATGTATTAAGGTGTGACGGTTTTCCATAGATATACATCCTGAATTCTATCTTACGAGACCTCGATCTTTCGTATTGCTCGAAGACAGTTATGACTCTCACAATGCAATTTTCTACCGTTTATAGCTTCCTCAATGTGCTCTCAAAGATCGTGTGCCATTTATGACTGACGATTATCTATGGGTATATAAACAATTATCAATCATGCGAGACGAATTAAAAATGCATGACCAAGTCCAATGTGCATCTTTTAATAATACATTGTTAACAAATAAAAGATACGTAAAGTGAAAGAAATATTATTCCGATATATTTTTCTATTTTCTCAAATTAATTTTCACTATCAAAGCTTTTGTAACTGTGATATAAAAAAAAATTTAAACTATACTATAAAAATTAATAAATTTTAGTAACTTAAAGAAAAGTCTTTTTTCGGAGAATTAATTACACAAAGGTTTTCCTTGTGACAAATCGTAGAGATATCTGGCAGAAGATGTTCTGGTCTTATATGGACCGAGTCGCTACCCCTTTACGTCATCGGACAAGATCGCCGCGAGATCACGTGTGGCGCGTGCAACGATTACGCGTGCCACAAGCTAATAATTCTAAGCCCGTTCAGGAACACGCGTCACGCGAATGTGGAGTACTCGCGATGGTGGGCGGGCGCGGTCTCGGTCGCCGGGAAAAACCGTCTCGCGGTTTCTTACGGAGGGGGATGGTCGCGAGGGAAGGAGCGTAGATCCGTCGTATACGGCGGATCTGGAAATGCAGGGACACCGTCGGTTCTCAGTCACAGTATCGCGTCCTCTCGGTCCGCCTCGACGACATCGACGCAGCCGATGACTGCGTCGACGCTGTCTTCTTCCGTTTCTCTTCTTCCGGTTCGCGAAAGTGGGTGATTTTCTCTCTTTCTCTTTTTCTCTCTCTCTCTCTCTCTCTCTCTCTCTCTTCCGTTCTTCCTCTCGACGTTCGCGAATTTTTATAATGTCGCAATCTTGCACGCCTTTTTTCTATGGAAATTAGATTTGCATCGTTTTGTTATTAGTATCACAATTAAGAAGATATCTATATGTGAATTCTAGGTTTCGATTACTTTGATCGAGAAATTTCTTCGTGCAGTTATCGCAGTGGAAAATGTAATGTATGCAAATAGACAACTTTTGCTTGAGAAGTAAGGGAACGTTTCGGCTCGGCGATCGCTGCAAAAACGACGAAGAGGAAAACTCGAGGAACGCGTATTGCAACCTCACGAAGCACCAGCGTGACCATGATTTTGCGAATGTGTCTTTGCCTGAATATCTTGACGGTAGGATTTATGAATATGCAATACATATACAGAATCACGACTAATTTAATATATTAATATAACACAGCACATTTAACGAAAAAATACTTAAGGGGAGATTAATCTGATACCGCGAGTCAGTTTTTGCACGCACTGCTTGCTCGTACCCACTCGCGCGCGCGCGCGCGCGCGCCTAGGTTACGTCAGTAAGTGAATTAAGTCAGCAATTAATCAAGGCAAATTCAACATTGACATAGATATTGATAAAAATGTTTCCGAAAGCGATTATTGACTTTTCCATAGATATGCGAGTATACGAGTTAATTGACATTGACATTGGTACTCCACGTCGATGTCACTTCAAGATCCTCGATTGAGTAAAACGCCAGTCTCGCGAACTGGTGATTACGGACTCTCAAGACTTCCAATAGTAACTGGCAAATGAATCGGCGAAACAGCTACGTTACGTAATCCCGCTATTTTCATTGATTGTAATGATGAACTTTACAAAGCAGCATTGACATTGGTAATGAAACTGGACGTTCGCGCAAGAAGATTGCTATCTGATACAATAAATATAAATTCCATTGATTTAATGAGAATGCAAATAGAAAGAATTTATGCACGATTGTTAGAGATATAGATACTGATAAAACTATATTAAAATCTACAAAATAATAAGACTGAAACAAATTGTCTGGCAGATTTTGAAGAATTTAATTTGAAAATTGTCGGACGCGCGATTTCGGTGCAGTTTTACGATAATTTATGAAATTGCTTAAACCTATACATTTTTTTACATGCAACAGTTACAGCTTTAAATTGTTACGAACCGAACACCTTCGAGTGTTTACGACTGTCAAAGGAGTGTATGATACTTTGCATATATTTAACGGTGATGGCTCGAGATGATTTGCGTAACTGCATTTGCGTGCCGGTAAAATCGCTGATTGTTCCGTACGCTCGTCGAATACAATCTGTCACGCATATATTCACGTCATCGCTCGATCGAAACTGACACCGGCATGATTTGTGGAAGGCGTGAAAGAAAGCCGACGCCGAGGATGCACTCGTGAAAGAGGCACCGGACGCTTATTCCTACTCAGGGAGAGTTCGATGCACGAACGCGCGGTACCGTGAAGATCGCGTGGATAGAAGTGTAACAGAGGAGGATGTCCTCTTTCTCTCTCTTTCTCTCTTCTTTCTCCCAATCGTGCCATCAGGTAATATAAAAATGCGTGCGTGACTATCAATGCAGCCCAGATTCACGTCAATCAACGGGATCAGCTCTGTTTCCAGAGTAATTTGACAAAGTTCAACTGTAAACTCAATAGACTGCAGTAAACTGAATCATTATCGCACATTTAGCGTTAAACGTGGCTATCAAGTCTTAGTCGGGTCTCGTATTATTCGTTTAATACAAGAATTTTAAAAGAACGAGCAATATCTAAATAATAGTAAGACGCAAAACATGCATTGTTAATATTAGCCTACTTAGGAGAGCTATTGAATTTTCTGGGAATAAAACGTAATGACTACTTTTTAAACCAAGGAAAGTGAAAAAATAAGTTAAGTCAAGGAATAAGAATGGATTTTCCTTACAATTTTTGTTGTACATAGATATTAATTAAAAAGCTGTGAGAAAATAAGATCTTAGATATCAATTACATATAATTAGCATGATAAAAAAATTGTTTTAATTGATATAATGATATTTTCCTAACGTAATAGTCATAAAAAGAATTTATTCTGACATGTGTCCTCATTGCTGTTAATTATTACTTATTTTATAGCGTATTTTACAATACCGTATGATTGAGATAAGTTAATATTCAACATATCATTGTTATTTAAATAAGGTGAATAATTAAAGGAGAATATAATTATAAAAGAATCGAAGTTTAAAGTTTTTAACTTCATGTAATCACGAGAAATAAAATGAATATTTGAAAATGTCTTTGTGTTTGAATAGAGTTAGGAGCACGTACCGATCTTCAAGCGCTGAATGTAAATATCGAGAAGAAATGATGTGAAAGTAAAATAGTAACATGAAACAACTTCGGATATCAAAGTCGCAGTTTAAAATACATGCTACCAACTCTGCGTGCACAATGAGTTACTAAATCGAAAGGGAAGTATCCGGTAAACGAGGCATTTGCGTTTGAAAAGAATTGGGGATATACGATCCTCGTGTCGATAAATACCGGGACGTAGCTACGCGAAGGTAATTAATATCGCGCACTCCGAATATCAATTATAGCGCGCGTTCGTGCGAAGGCCGCGACGTACGCTCACGAAACGCCGACGCTCCTCGAATACCTAAGTGAGATCGCAAACGAGATCGCGCATTTGTCACGTACATATCTTCTTCATGCGACACTATCTGCAATTATGATCCGTAATGTCACGATTGTATGCGACGTGTGGTTGGATCACCGCAAGATGCCACCGATGATGATGCCAGTCTTCGCGTGCGGTATGCTACAATCCCGAGGCATGCCTTAGAGATACAAAAGATTCTTGCAGGCGATAATACGGGTACCACGAAATAAAGTATAATTTCAAATGATATTAAATAAACGAAAAAAAGATATTTAAAAAATAATTCAGTAATTCTCTTTGCAAACATGAAATAACTTTTATTCTTAACTCTTTATTAATGATATTGCTGATTAACTGCAGATTAATAGATAAAAAATAAAAAGTGCAAGATGCAAATTATAGCGTTTTGTTACCTAATTAGCCATCATTCATCTTAATTTTGTTACAAGTCTAATTTAAATGCATGCCACATTTTATGCATTCTTGTGTTATTCACGCTCTGCTACATATAGCATCGTGTATACTAAATTTCGAAAATTTACACGATTAATTAAGCGATAGAAACGTGTCAGTGCCAACTTAATTATCTAATTGAGATTATCCAATTAAAATGAATCTCAAGAGCGATCGACCGAGGATCTCGTTAATTTCTTCTGCCTACCAGCTAATTACGTCCGCAATTAGCGTATAGCAATATCCTTCTCCTGCAAGCACCGAATTCATTGTCGGCTACCATTAGCTACCAATGTCGCCAATTTCCCGGCGGGCGCGCGATTTCATTATAACCCCAGATTATATCACGTGATCGGGCACGTGGGAAACGCGCGGAGCGTGGGTGTTTTTTAATGAGAGAGGAGATCGCGCGAGAGGATGGAGAACGGCGGAAGCGAGCGAAAGGAGCCGCGGCGGCTTCTGTGTAAAGGTGAAATCACCGTGACCGACGGGAGTCGGCCGGCGGACAATGGACGGTGCAATGATAATTTAGCGAGTTAATCGCGCGGCTTGGACGACCTCGTGCAAAACCGCCGGCCGAAACGACGGCTTTCCTTCGAGAGGACGGAAAATTGATGCGTGGCGCGGTTATAGACGCGTCAGGATTCCGCAGCTCCTACAAGAATTGCGCGCTATTGTGCGACGTGAATGAAATTCGTGTTGATAGTCCTTGATACATAACGCAATTTATTCCCTGTCTCGATTGTTTATGGTCCCAACTTGGGTTCGCAATTATCCGCAAAATAACTCTTTCGCTGCGGTAAGGTTCGAGCGGTACCCGTTTTGCTCTCGTCTTAAGATATTAAATTACTCTCTCATGTTGAGTCTCCATACATTTAGAAGAAGGCAGAGAGAGAAAGAGAGAAAGAAAGAGAGAAAATCAGTTAAACTTGAATTAACTTTAATTAATGTTTATAGAAACGACCGGTTTTAACCTCTGCTTAAAATTCCTGCAAGGGATAATGAATAACACATTATTATTACGTTACACGTACATGAATAACACATTATTTTGCGTTATTTTTTTATGGGATCCTGTATTTGCAAAGCTAAAAGCAACGCTTCAATATCTTTCATCGACGAAGTTCTTATCTTCCGCTTTGACGCCATTGAAGAAAAAAATGGAGGTAATTAATACTTGCTCGTGAGCACTATAATTTTGACATAAAAGGAGGAAAAGTATTCAGTGTTTTTCTGTAGCACAAGAACGAGCTGCGAATGTCAGAAAGAAAAACAACCTTCATCCTACATTACGTATAAGCTATATGGATTATGTCAGAGTATGCGCAGATCTCTTATGAGATTACTCTTATGAGATTATGTAGAGTATACGCAGGGTTTACTTTCGATGATTTTTCTTGTTGTTTAAATTGCAGGCTAACTACATATACGGGTGTATTGGACATACAACGCGTATTTTAATCTGCTCTATTCGATATCTCAAATTCCACAGGGTGTGTGTGGAATGCAGAAAAAATCGTTTGGCACGCACGGACACGCAATCGCGTAGACTGATAAAATCAGTAAGATCAACCGACAAAGTATTATCTTTTGAGGAGTTTCACGTCCGTAAATAGGACGTTAGATAGTCAGCTTTACGGAGATCGAAAATACTTAGATATTTTAACAGAATGTCTTTCATATGTAGAAACAAAACCGCGTGGTCGATTCGTTTCAAGGATATCAACCTAACATTGAGTCCGACTCCCACAACGCGACCATTTTTCAAGTCAAAATGCCTCGCAGCGATAACACGCGGTGAGCCAGTTCCAAGGATATACCGAAGCAATCCCGAGTGTGAATTCTTCCCGGTTAAAGAGATGCAGCAACGTGATGGATATTAAGCGCACGTGCATGGGAAGGTCCAAGGTCAACTGTGGCGTGCCTTGACCCTACGTCGTGTCCCATAAAACAAAACTCGCTAAGTAATTCGTGGAGCTGAGTATATCGCTTAAGGGAAACTTAATCTCCCCCTTGTCCCCAGCATACGTATCGCATCTACAAATATTCTCGCGTCTCGCGCATCCCTTCTTATTTCTACTCCAATATTTTATGTGCTGAGGCGCCTGGATAAGAACCCGGATGTTTAAATTTACAGATCTTTCCGGGCGGAGACTTTTATCCGTAAATTTAACCGAAGACACCTCGCTTCTTTTTATCCGCATTTTTTTTAATCCTGCAAACTCTGTCCGTTTCTACAAGAGACGTTATTATCTCACGAAATATTTTCCGCTGCGTAATGCCGATACATCGGCCCTACGCTCGCTCGGTCCAGCATCTCTTAATATGGACCGACGAGAGGCGGACCTCGTGGTCTTGGTCAATCCCACGCAAAATCCGCGATAGAAGGGATAAGTATCTCTTACGTGACCGCCGTGTTTGCGCGCAATGGTACCCCGCTATGAAAGACACCACGATGGAAGGCACCGCATTCCCCGCGTGGTCGGAATTATTGTGGCACATTGTAACACACACACACACACACACACACACACATTCCGGCTAAACGGCAAATACAGGCTCCAGGATATCGCCCCGTAAATGAGGATTCGTTATGTGTTTCAATATATATTTTTTTTTATTGACTTTCTATGCATTTCAAAGGGGGCGAGTAATCGTGAATCACGGACCAGCTTGCGGAGGTTTTTTTATGACGATGACGAGGAAGAGTGTGTGATTTCATTTACATGAGAATCTCGTTTACGCGTGAACTCGATTGCGCACAAATAAGATTATAAATACGATGTGGTGATACGAGGCAATGTTTACTATTTTCATTGTTACAAAATTGCAAGTTAAGTTATTACGGACAGTTAAGAAGATCGACTGACACTGTTAATTGACACATTTATTACAATATAATTCATCGATCTTTTCTTGTGGTCGCAAGTCATAGGTCATTGCTGCACGCATAATGTGCGTAAAAAGTTGGCAAGGAGATTTCTTTTTACCGCGTATATGTAATTGCTTTTGAATACGTCTGCGAGATGAGAATGATAAAGAAATGAACAAGATGAAGCGTAGTTTCTTAAGCGTGTATGTACGCAATAAGCAGCAGAGATTTTCCCCACAAAAACCACAACCTGAATTCGTAGGTATATAACTGGGAATTTCAGACATTGCAATCGGCTTTTAATGATTGCAAAACTAATATCTATCTTTGCATCGCGATAGTGAGACATGCTCGTAAACGAGCAGAGTAGCGAGAGCTCTCAAAATACTATCGCTGCGAAAAATACGCGGGGAAATAAGGTACGTCGTCTCGAGCTTGGCTGGTTCAAAGCCATGCTCGTAGCGGAACGTTCGTCGTCTCTTCAGGTCGTAACGCCGTAAATGGAGTGATTACGACTGACCGGCGGAGCGGAGTATGCGACGCCGCGCCTACAAGCCGCCGTGTAGATCGCAAAGAAGAAAAGAGACGGGCCTCGTAGTCCGAGAAACGATGCTGACTAATCGGTTGCCGAGGAACACCCCACGTAGCTGGTCACGTTCCTTGTCACGGCGTGTTCTTGCTATCGACCGGCAACTTGAAATTTGCGTACGTGCTCGTAGATCGTAAATATCTTGTTGATCGTAACTGACTCCTGATGACAGCTGACCAGCACGCCAGACTTTCGTGCTCTACGATGAAGAGAGATGGCTATTGCTATGTTAAATTAAATGTATTTTGTAATAATAATGCATTATATATAATCAATTTCTCTCACGCAACCTTTCCAAGTGAAATTTCTATTTTTATTCTTAGATTTTATATCTGAAATGTAAATCTAATTTATGTATGTATTACATTTTAAGATAAAAAATACGAAAAATAAGAAGCAAATTCATCCTCTATGCATAGTTTAATATCTAATCGATTCTTCACTTTTTACTTATAACATAGTTGTAATGTTAATCGATTCAACATTTATAAAATACGTAAAACTGATATTTTAAGTAAGATAACTGTCAGATATAATATTTACACTATACATTATATTTTTACATTATATTAAGTAATTATCGACACGGTTGACGCGATACGGAAAAACGATTTAAGTAGATTTACATTGCAGGTTTCGGCGCTATGTCTGACAGCAGACGAGATCGAGGCCCAGAGAAGCGGCTGGAACCTAAATCCCAATACACAGTATCACATTCAAACCGATGAGGGCCCGGAGAGATTTTTTCGCTTTCAAACATCAAACGGTCAATACAGAAAAGAGAAGAGATTGGCCGATGGCACGGTAATTGGCACCGAAGGTTGGCTGGACCCTCTCGGATATTTACGACTGAAGGATTACATTGCAGACCACGAGGGATTCCGAATATTAAGGCAATCTGACTATATAGGAATAAAATTAATATACGAAACTAAAATTGCTAGAAACCAATAATAATTAATTAAGCACCGAGTGACGAATTTATCCGTCGGAATCCTTTCAGGTCAAAAATGGTTTACGTGGGTAAGGATCGACCTATTCAGGACGCGGTGGCGGAAACAAAGAAGGTTCCAGCGCAGACTGGAGTTTTGGCAAGACCCAGAAGGCCGCCTAATCCTTTCAGGTAAAGAGCGATCAAAAAATCAAAAAATCAATTGTATTATAATAATTCGTTAAAGAAAGACTAAAATGTATAAGTTATAAATCAATTTTTTAAAAATATTAACAATAAAAATTGATAAGAATTTTTAATTATTCGTTACAGGCGACCAGATCCTAACGCCGTCGTGCCGCTGTCCGGCAACGACATCACTTCCGGTTATTACACTCCGACGACTATTCGACCTCGACCGATTTCGAGAAACAATTATTATTCAAGTCGGTCAGGCTATCCTTCATCTGGACTCCAGAGTCTGGATGGTTTTCATCGACCACAGGTTGCGTACTACCGCGGATCTGCAATTCGACCGCCAACTCAAATTCTCGAAGCTCCCTACGATTCTGCTATCGGAGGTTCCTCCATCCGGCCAAGCTATCAGTTGCCCATTTCTCGAAACGACCCGGGTGATTTGCCGCCGTACGACGGCACTCACACAACGGCGAACGGTTTCCAGTATTACTTGAGGAGGCAGTATCACGAGGAGGAAAGGGAGCCCGAAGGTAACAACGTCGGCTCTTTCGGTTATATCGATCCGTTCGGCATTAGACGGGTGATTTATTACAAGACGGATCCGTTCACCGGCGGATTCCTCCACAAGAAGAACAATCGATACGTCGGCTTCAACGCGACGCCGTACGATCCGCTTCCGCCCGATCTGTCCAGGACGCGGCTCTCGAGAGCCCCCCCAACGAGCGCTTCGTAACAGTTCCGTCGTTGTTCATCGCTTTGCCACGTTGTAGCATCACGTTTTATCGCGAAGAGCTCATCATCCGATATCGCGTCGACGCTGGGGATTTCGCTACGCTGAACGGCCTCGGTTCGATTCGACGATCTCGACAGCGAGACCGCTCATCGGATCGAGCTGCCGCCTGTTATCGATTGTTCTCTTAAGCAATCTTCGTTGATCGTGAATTTTCCGCCCGGGATGAAACTCCAACGTTCGGAGAAAGGAAGAACAATAGTGAATAGATACGGTCTCGTGAATATCGACCGAGAGATCAATGCTCTATGCTTCTCATGGGGAAAGATAAAGATTCCCCGGCAGGGATTCTCGATCACCAACGTTGCTTATATAATATATAGATATAATAACGTTTCTCGAAGTGCCACGATTGATATTTTTCTGACGTACGACTCCGTTGTGTCAGCATCGCCAACGGTTCCCAGTATTATCCGAGATGATATAACGTTACGTGGAACGTGGGTCGATTGAATCAAGAGACGATCGAAACGCGACGGATAAGAAGAAGGTTCCAACGGAGAAGAGATAAGAAATTATGCGAGATTAACACAATGACTTTTCGTCATCGAGAACCAAGGCGGCGGCTTCCTGATTCGTCGTCCTGCCTTTGTTCTTGTTATTATCGCGAGCAGATGATCGGATACCGCGAAGAGATAACGTTAGATGCCATGCTGGACTATAACTCAGTTTTCAGGGAAGCGCGGTGGGACTTCCTTGAAAAAAAAAAGAAAAAAGAAAATTGTAGAACAAGTCGGACAATGTTCGCCAATCTTACCAGTTGCGTCACCGATCTATGAAACGTGCGAAGACTCGCGGCCATTGTCCTCGCGACATAAAGCTTCTTTCGGTAGTCTTTTTTCACAGATAGTCATTTTCACAGGGACACCTTAGAAAGTATATTTGTTCTGATTCGAGATGCAATCAAAATACATGTACAATTATCTCTCTTAATAATTTTAGAAAAATTTTATTCGAACCGACTGTGTTTAGATTACCGGAAATTTTTGCGTTTCTCTGTACTTTTTCCACGATCTTTTCCGCTTGATCTGCGATAAAGAAAAATCCCACCTGTCGAATCAAAAAATAGAACGGCCGGCACTTTGGCGTGAGCGGATCGGACGTTAACCCTGCAGTGTACTATTCTTTTTTTATTAGCGACACTCCACCAGCGAAGTATCACAGCTTTATTGGTTACGAAAGCACTGCGTTGAACCGCGTGTGAGGTGCGCTGGTGATTTATATCGTCGCCGAATCGCGTCTTAAAAATCTCTAATGCGAAAAACACAGTGATTATGCAAGCATGCATTGTTGTACGTTGCAGGGTTAATTCAGCGTGAGCCGCAAATCCGGAAATCTTAATAGCTTTCTATCGCCGATTCTGCTGACGCTAATAGTATAGTAGTTTCCTTCCTAGTTTATAATGCGCGTCCGCGGATACTTTTCACGTACTAATTTCTCGCGGCATACCGGAAGGCTATCCGCTCGTGCCAAACAACGAAGGGGGCCACGTTAGCCATTAGTTAATCGTTAAGTTAAACCTCGTTACGTCGCGACAATGGTGCTGATTGTTAAGTAAAAGCGGATACACCGCGCACTTTCCGTTCTTTTATGGCGATGAGAACCGTGCCGTTACGCTTTGTGCGCCTAAGTCAATTGCGATTTTCGGATTAAAGTTCCCTCCGCGAATGACACCACAATTGTCCGCGTCAAGGGATACAATTTGTGCGTAAGAAATATGCATTTCATATGCTTAACTTATTTTGCAGACAAATGTGTGAGAGCGAACGATCGCTTGCGCGTGGAATGTTAAACATGTGATATCAGTTTACGCGAAAGCAGCAAAATAAAACTCTATTTAACACCGACGTTGTTGTTTCACCAAGAATAGGTAAATACAAGAAACAGCCAAAAGTTTATGGCCACTTTAGTTATTTTCATCAAAAAATTCGATATATCAGTTTTTAATATAAAAGTTGTACAGCACGGGAACGTACAACTATATGCATTTGTATTTGTGACATAGCTTTGAATGCTGTCAGTATTCAAAATAACAGTTTAACAATTTTAGTAACATTTAATCCGGCATAAGCAACTTTAATCGTGCGTATTTAACATTTTAAAATAAATAAAAATAATATTTGATACAGTATTAAAATTATTTGTGTGTCGTTAATGAGTTTTATAGAGGTTACTGAACTGGTTTTATTTAGAAAAGCGCCGACAGGCTTTCCATTGCGACAAACTGAAGAGAAATTCCTAAGATAAGCCTGTATTCAAATAGCTGATTTTAATAATATACGTATATTCTTTATATGGTCATTTCGATGATAATACAACATTTTTTAAAAATTTATTTAAAATATATATTTTCGAGAATTTATTTTTGTCTTATACAAATCTACAAGTCTCACATAATTCTTGCCGAATAATTAGCAATTGCCAACGATTTTAAGCGTTCGTTATTTAATTGTAGCATTGCTTGGATTGCGAGGGGCAGTATGTTATCCCGGTGATCCCGTAATCGCATAATCGTAACGGCAGTGCGAAGTGCATCCAGGAGAGCACCGGCATCCGCTTATATCCGATTATCATACCTCATTCAAAGTTTCACCGGCCTTGACGCGCTACCTCGTGAAAAGTTTCACCGGCCTCGGAGAGTGCGCTCTCTTTCTTTCCTCTCCGAGCACGAAGACTGATGCCCTTATAGATTTGTATGTACACGAGACTAACAATAAAGACGCTTCGCTCCGTTAAACATACGCCTATCCTATATTTTCTTTCCCCGACCAAGCCCCCGAACGCAGATCTCTCGGCGTTTGTAGGCCGTGATAATTCCTCATTCCACGAAAGGTTTATCGAGTATCTGCATGCTCGCATATAGATTTATACACGCATGAGAATGCACGTTCGTTGATACGTGTAATCGGTGCTGCAGGTAAGAAGTCGTTGTGCTTGTTCGTATAACGAATTATTTTTACCTTTCCGCCACGTACTGATTCTCATTTCCTGTTTTTATTGCCGTTGCACCGACGTATGTACTTAATAAATTATCTCAAGAAATTATATTTTTTGCTTTCATAAATACTACGATTTCTCTACAATAATTTAGAGATGAAAAATAATTAGAAATTTGATAAATTGTGACAAACAAAATAAAAATGGAATGCTACGCAAAGAATTAAAAAATTGAAAATATGAATGCTCTGAAAGAAAGAAAAATTCTTCTTGAATGTATATAGAGAAGAGAGTAAAAAAAAAACCGTCGAAGAACTGTATCAGTGTTATAAGTTCTCGCACCAAAGACAGAAATATTGTACGGCGCGGTATACCTAAAGGTGACAGTGCCATGAATGGACGTAGACGCGATCACGAGTAGATTAGTTGGCTGAGTTTACTCCCGTGACATTCTTCTCTATCGCGACACAAGAAATGTCAGTTCCCACCCGAAGAGCGCAATTACGCGACGGCGGTGGCGGCGCCCGTACAAAGAAATAAAAAGAGAGACATAGTAGGGGATTAATCATTAATGGTGCATACGGGAATGCCAGGATCTCACGATCGGGAAAGGGTCGACGTGATCGACGAGTGGAAGGATGGAGACGAGCGAAGTCGAGTTTACCAAGCGATGTTTCTTACTACAAATATACATAGAATGGAGAGTGTATTTGGGGCGCGAGGGGATAAAGTAACTTAACAACTTAATTGCTATTTCTTAATAACGGTACAGTGCTGCGAATACGCTATATTGCTGAAGCATCGACGCGAGCTCGCTATTGGTACTTTCTGTTGTTGTATTCGTCCCGCCTGTCGACCTGCTGGCTCAGTGGCTGCGGTCCTTTTTGAGCTGCTGCGCGAGCTTCTTCTTCCTAGAAGATACACAGAAACATACCGAATTTAAAAACTGTTCTCGTTTCTAATTAATACTCTAAATTAGATTTTGTTGATAATTAATTTCAGGGAAAAAATCTATTTTTTTTACTGATAAAAGAATATTTTTTTTGTCGGAAGTAACGATAGCTTGATTAAACACCAATTGAGCGTTGAATTTATCGTTATTGTCTATCATTATACGACAGTCTTTAGAAAATCGTATCTTTAGAAAATTCTCCTTATCTTTATTTTCAGTATTACTTCCTTTTTCCATTTCAAAATTTTATTTAAAGCTTTGCTATTTCTATTTGCAATATTATAAACTTGAAGTACGATAACTTGAAAGCGTAAAGCAGTAATTATCTATGAAGTAGTTTTAATTAAATGTATAGATCTCAGCGTGGACCCGTCGATGTCATGCTTCTGCGCGTAGATAAGAGAGTAGTTTTAGACATGTTAAGCTGAACCGGTAGCTGTTGTACCGACGTAATGATTAACGTGAGTTGAAAGGAAACGGCATGCAGAGTAGCTACCTTCTTCCTTCGCTTCGCACAGGTCATTCATACCATATAGCGGTCTTTAGCCTTTGCATCGATATGGATCGCTATCACGATTTCGCAATTAAGTGCGCTCGTAACGCAGATAACTGAATGGCTTTTCGCAAACCCTGCTTGGAAACCGTGACCTATGCTAGCTGTGGCGAAACAGAAGTTCTTCCCATAAGATCGCGGAGAACGTCTTTCGCAAAGGTGAACATGGACGTGAACAGAAGTGATAAGAAGAGAAACAAGAGAGGAGGAGAACAAGTGGGGATAATCGAGGACAGAAAACTGTGAATGGACTTTAACGTGCAATGAAGTAGTAAAATTTTATATACAATTACTCAGTCATGTAAATCTTGAATGAATCTGTTCTTTCAATACTTTTGTATATCTAATAAAACCAAACTCTTTAACGTAACTGTCTAACATTTCCTTAATAGAATTTTAAACGTCAATATCTGTTGTAAAATTCGTGTTAATCAATATTATTTGAAACAATCGAATTAATACTATTGCGATATTAATAATTTCTTAATTTTATCTGTAACGATTTTCGAATGACCCTCATACACGCTCTACGACTAATATTTTGCAAGTAAAACCATTTTATTAAGACACCATATTAATTAGATATCTATAATGTGGAATTTCATGAAATCGAATGGTACGATTTCTATAAAGGTAAGTAAAACTCGTGGAGCGAGCATAATAGAACGGAAGAGGAAAGGTTGTGGGTATATTTACCTCTTGCTGACGAATACCCGCGTAGATGAGGTCGAGGCCTTTCTGGATTTCCTCGCTAACGGGCGGTGGCGTGGGAATGTGATCGCCCTGCGCGTGAAAGCCGGTCTCGTCGGCGGTGTAGTGAATGGTGATCAGCTGTCCCTCGGGACTTGTGTACGAGAAGGTGCCTTGCTGCACGATCGCCTCCGCTCGGTCTTCACCTTCGCCGATCGTCTTGATGTAGCCGCTTTCTTCGGCAATGATGTTGTTGCCCGTTTCGTAACTGCAGGATTCAGATCGTCCAGGGATGTTAAATAATCGATTGCGTAAAACGGACGGTCCAGAAAGCCGATCAGAAATCCGCATTACGTAATGTTAAAATGCGCGCTGGCAAAGTTCGCACGCGGATTTGAGGCATCTGCAGGTAATGCCACGGTCCGATATTGCGTCGATACTTTCGGAACTCGATTACGTGAAACTCGCATGACGAAAATTTCAGAGAGTAACACGATTATGTGGAACGTGAGATGAGATGTTGGATCATTAATAAAGTTTTTTTTGCACGCGTGACGTAAGGACAAGATCAGAGAAACATTTTTATTAATATTTGAAATATTACGTATATAATTTTATTATTGGTATGTCTTTAAAAATTTTTATTAAAAAAAATAGATGGGACATTACCACTATAGTAAATTAAGGGGCTATCCTTTTTTTCTAAATTGTACAATACAGACAATATATATAATTACCTGGTCTTGTAAGTTCCATCATGCTCTTGCTGCTTGTTCCAATGCAAAATTGGGATGGGCGTAGTGCTTGTAGGTCGTCTGCTGTCACCCTGATATTGTCCATCTTCCTGCTGATTATAGTTACGCCCATCTTGCTGATAGTTGCGGTAATTTGAATCTTGCGCCACCGCTAATCCCAGAATCATTGCTAACACCTGAAAAATTACAAATGTTAGTTTTTTTTTATTAGCAAAAGCATGATTAAGATATGTACATCTCGAGAAAACGCATGTTCAAAATGCGATTACAAAATATGTACTGCATGTGTGAATATCATTAAAGCGTTATATCATAAGATTCGGATTACATCAATTTGTTATCCCTTTCTAATCGGCATTTTGAGACTAGATCAACGGGTAAAATGATCGATGAGATTAGACGCGGAAGAATGTAACGCGAAATCCCAAAGTGGATTTATCGGTTTCTCTGCTACGAAATCGGGCGATGCGCTCTCAGGAGATGAGTGAAAGTGAGAAGCAAATGCCAACACGGGTCATTTAACTCCTGACCCGCAAACTCGCACAGTTGAGCCCGTCCCATTTCATCCCAACCTATCGTGAACCCCTTCTACATTATACTTTGATCGTGTCGAGTCGCGTTGCTTGTCCCGTTGCGATCTTGTCGTCTCTACCAATCTACTCGTGGATTTATTTACAACGTTACTGTTTTTTAAACATTCTATAGAGTTTCATGATCAATTCTCGAAATAATTGATAGTAAATAATTAATCTTAATAAAATTTTAAAAAATAAACAAAAAAATGATAATTTTAATATAATATGCACGAATAATATTAATTATTCCATTTTTAAGAAAAGCCGTATCGTAAATAAATGTGTTTAAATATTCGAGAAAGCAGTTCTGAAAATATAAGGTATAAACTTATGTCAGCCTCTGGATTATGTAAAGCCTCAGGATTTTAATCCCACGCAGTTCTTGTTTCGTCACTTTAACGGTGCATCTCACGCATATAAATTAATAAATGCAGGTTGTCGCAATATATCAATGACAATGGTGGCTTCTTAAGATTCTACAAGGGTCACGTTTATCGCTACCATACCTTCCAACATACAATTCTCCTAATTAAATGTTAAACAATTTTTATTTTTAATTGTTTTGAATTCAATAAATCCGATAAAGTTCAATAAATAATGAATAAATAATTGATAGCAAATAATTTAAAAAATGTATAAATTTCTGAAAACCAGTTTATTATTCTCAATTTTAATATTAACTTTATTTTAATGTAAATTAACTATTTCTTCTTGAAATTACAATTAGAAAAACCGCAAAAAATATTAAAAATAAGGTATTTTAATACAAGTCAAATTATTTAATATTAATTAAAACAATTATTGACACATTTTCTTTGCAGTACAGGAAATATATAACATAGTTGAGAAAGCGAAATTATTTTTTCAACCCCGAAGAGGCAAAGGATATCGCGCTTAATTAACGTGTCGGAAAACAACCGCTATTACTTACCACGTACTTCATCCTGACTCACGAGATATGTACTTCGTCAACAGGACAGATCAACGGATGAATGTGCGATGGGAATATGATGGCAAACGTACGGAGATAGTCGCAAACGAACGAGATCGACTGCGATCCCAGGAGAGGAAAGAAATCCCCTTTTATACCGACTCTCACTTTATCCCTACTCGAGGAGACGATGGGCTTCGAAAGATGCTTCGTATGCTTTATGGCAAAGAGCCTACATATCTGCCGGAGTAAATGCGTGTGTGGGATAGCCGCTTCCTTCGTAAACGTTCGTGTCGAGACCTCCCTGAGATCCCGATACCAAGAGGCGGCTTGCTCCGATTGTCACATCATATATGACCTTAGTTGATCTTGACTGAAACCTATTACCACTCTTTCAATGGCTTTCTAATAATTACTATTGTTTGCAAAAACTCGTCGCGCTTGATTTTATTTACGATAAAATTAATTAAATCAGGTTCAAATGAACTAATTAATGAATGAGTCTATTTGTATTGTTCTTGATCTAAAATATTATTCTACATATTTATAGTCCTGCGAGAAAAAGTATTTATGTGAGTACGTAATGACAATTATATGCATTAAAAATGTTTTCATAATATTGAAACGCGAACGTGTTTCGCGAATTCAGTTATTTTATTCGCGTCGCGAAGATCATTGCAGATGATTCGAAACTTTCGTATCGCTTCGCGGGATCGGATCCCCCCCATTTGGGTCCACGTACTTTCATAGTTTTACGGATTATGAGACCAGCAAAACAATGGGCGAGGAACACATTCTAATATGCATACTTACATATGCATCAGAATGCGCGTAATAATGCCATCGCAACAGCCCACGATCAATAGGAGACTGCGCTTCCGATTAGCGCAACATTAGCTTGTTCTTGCGCGGCCTTCGGATTGTTCTCCCGCTTCTTCTTTCCATTTTATTAAGAAAAAGAAAACCAAGAAGCTGCAGCTTTCGCGATTTAAATAATAATTATATTCTCTGCACTAAAGCTGCAAACTTGAAGTTGGTAAGAAAAATGACTAAATTAATTAAATAATACTTATGGAAATTTTATTAGTTCTATAGCAGTTGCAAATGTGCCTGCGCAATGATTTGTATATTTACATATTATAAAATAATTAAGCTCGGGCATTTCACTTCAGCATTTAATTAATCAAGATTTTGCTGCAGAGATGAAAATTAGCGAAAGTAGAGCCGGTTAGATTAGTCACGTGCATAAATTAATAATTGGGAGAGCAAGCCATCTAATCTGAAAAAATCATACGCGCGGTAATGTTATGCATTATCCGAGTGTTGCACCACGCAACTCTTGCAGAATTAATTTCTTAATAAAGCCCGATCATTTATGGCAGGATTAATGTGCCTTCTCCTGGGTTTCCTTGCACACTCTGTTGTTCGAAGGCGTGTAAGGAAGACGTCCCGGGATTATTACGCAAACGGATAGATATGTTAACTACTTTCACGTAGAGTCGGCGAGGAGCCGTTGACTTCCGACGCGACATGAAATTCGCATTTTTACGCCTAGAGGCACATCTCTCGGATATTATTATGTATGTCCAGCCGAACACGGGCCGAGGCTGTAAAGCTGCTAGCCGCGCGTAAAGCCTGACGACGAGCGGAGCCTCTCGGCGTAAGATATCGTCGTGGATGAACCGATCATCGATTATCGCAGAATGTCAACTGTGATGTAATCGTTATACATAATACTTAATGCCAGGCCAGTTACGTAGCGGTAATCGTCGTTACATCGAATAAGGTGGTACATTAAATGTACCACCTCACATTGTGTAATTATTGCCTCATTACGTGGCAGTTAAAGCGAAAGAAAAAGGTTTTATACATTCCGGCTGAAACGTGATTACGATAACCGTACAGGCGCGATTGTGAAATTGCTTTAACCGTTTACTGATCTTTCGCAGTGGATTAACGCAGTATTGAAAAGTCGTGGTACACAAGGACATTTTATTATCGGAACAGTGTACATGATCGGGACATCACAAACGCTCGCGTGACTTCTGCAAAATATCGTAAGGGTAAGATAAATACATATGTTAAGATATTAAGATTATTATCGCTTCATACACACCTTGTTTATCTGCTACTCTCTATTCATGATGCGGGGCAAGGTTGTTGCGACGGCACTAAAATATAATAGCGACGTAATTGCACATGTATTATATTGTTCGTTCTAAATAAAAGAGATAATATCAAGGGAATGAAGAAATTAAGGAAAGATTTACTTCCGTAGGTGGCAGGGGGACAAGAAGCGGAACAAGTTGGCAGGGGAACGAGCGTTCCAGGCGGGATGTAGCTGTTAAAGAAAATATTGGTGCATAAATTGTGAAATTCTAAATTGACAAGGCGAACACAAGGCTGAGATTTTAAATTGCTAAATAATCCGATAAAGAGAGGGACTGTCAAACCTTAGATTGTACGTGGTATTGTCCTCCATGGGATCGACGGGTGAATAATAGGGCGTAGCCGCAGCCCATGGCTTCTCAACCTGATCCGCTGGCTCCGTCGGCTGATAACTTAGTCGCATCGTGGTCTCGGATTCCATCGGAACGCCAGACGGATAGTACTTGCGTATGGGCGCGTACGATTTAATAGGCAGCAGGCATTCGTGATCGTTTGGTATATAAGACAATCTATGAGTCGTGCAGGCTGCAATAATCATATGTTAGAAATAAAAAATTATACAGACAGAATAATCAGAAGGCGTCTAAGATTTCTTTTTTTTTTTTTTTTTTTTTCAAAGAAGAAACAGCGCGCTCTTTCGTCTTTGATGAAGAAACAATACTTTCTCCGATCGACAAATACGATTGTAAGATGCTAAATATGCAAATTACAACGATATTATTTTATGTGTAGCTAAACACTTACATTCCAGCGGCAGGGACGAGAAAGTGAGATTGTTCTCGGGTCGAGTCCCTGTCGGCGGCATCACGCGCTTCCAAGTGTAATCGTGCTTCTGCGTAGTCTCATCCTGCATTGGTCCTCTGCCCAGCGATTGTCTGTCGCAAGGTGTCATAGACGGTTCCGGTTTGACGCACCAATTGCCCAGGAAACTCAACTGCAATGATGTGAAATTAACGCAATTTCGAACTTTTAAAAGTTTACAAATTTTGAATTTTAAATTGAATTGTCATCTAAAAATCATTGCTCGTGCAATTTAAGCTAAAAAAATTTTTGCGATTAATAGCGATTATCTCATCGTCTCTCTAGAACGTGGTCCGTGATGTTGAAACGACAAAGCCGGCCGACGTCCTCGATCTTTAAGGGAATAGTCATTGTTGTTTCATTTCGCTACAATATAGCGTTATGGCTTGATAGAAAGAAGACTATCAAATCAATCTGCGAGGCGACGCAACGATTGTTGGGCAATTTGATAAAATTATCTCGTAACCGCCGCAAAATGCACTCGAGAGTGTAACTGTAGATCCGAATTAGTGTATCATCCTCGAGTCGAATTCACCGTGAAGATACGATTGAGCGTTTGCTAACCCGATTGACGGTGTCGTGGGAGAGCGGACACGGCGAGAAAATCATGTTGCTAGGCTGGCGAATGGGATCCGGTGGCTTGTCACCGCCACACCCGAAATAGCTGAGCCGATACGTGGTGTTGTCGTCGAAGCAGCAGCCGGCGTTCAACAAGTTCTCGTTCTTGTCGTGGTGGAAAGGTTCCGGAGGCTTCTCGCCACAGGGGGGCCAGTAACTCAGTCTGTAGGTCGTGCATCCGTCCATCGGCGTCACCGGGTGATGATAATCTGCCTTTAGACTCCACGGTAGTTCCTCCTAAAAAAGCAAACCATTATTTGCAGTATCCAATAATATATGATAAATATTTATAAAAAGATGAATTGTGTTTTAAGTCAATGAATTACTAATGTAGTTTAGAAAATACTAAAAATAGTAAATATCCGAAAAATGCTTAAAATATTCTTATATTTCGAAAAATATAAAATTGTTGAAAATATTTATAAAGTATGACAAACGTAAAAAATAGATTAAACGAAATAAATTTCAGAATTGTTTTTTTAAAACTTACTTTTACAGGAACTTCGTTTGGCCAATAGCTAAGCCTATACGTTGTACAACCTTCCATCGGTACATCTGATTTGACATATTTCCTAATGGGCGCATAAGATTGCATCGGAAGCAAGCAGGAAGAGTTATAATAGCTCAAACGATAGGTCGTATCATCTGTTTCCCGATCATGTTAATTAATTAAACAATATTTTTTACTATATAAAATAATATTTTGTTTTTTAAAATTAAGATTAATAATTGTAGATAAATATTTGTATTTAGCAATAAATGGGGATTACCCGACAAAGCGGCACATGGAGGATATAAATTATTTTGCGCCTTAATGATCTCAGAACGCATCGCGGTTTTCCACGAATAATCGTGTTTGTGCGTCGTGACATCTTCCATCGGACCTCTACCCAGCCACTGCCTGTCGCAGGGCGTCATTGGCGGATCTGTTTTCACGCACCAATTGCCAAAATAGCTCATCTGGAAGAGCAATCAAACTCCAGTCAATAAGTCGTTTTATATGCAAAATGTTCGTCATACTTTGTGTGTCGTTTCATCAGACATTGGCGCGTCACTGCATGTCAGATTGCCTTCAGGTCGAATGGATTCGACAGTACCGCTAGGTCCTTCCCAATAAGAGAGACGATACGTTGTATCATTATCCATCGGTACGCTCGATTTCCAATAATACTAAAGAGAAAATTATAAAGACAGTTTTTAACAGCAGCAAATGAACAAAAAAATTTTTTATTAATTTTTTGTTAATTTTACCTTTAACGTACGTACGTTAGTCAGAAAATTAATAAAAATGTCAGAACTGAATTTTTTTAAAACTGTACTTACGTGAATAGGCGCGAAAGATTTTGGTATTTCCGGCTGGACATATTTCTGTAAAAGTCATTTGCTCTCTAATTTAATATTCAAAATGAATAAATAAATGAGATGGCTTAAATGTAAATCACTCACGTAGCATGTAGGTTGTGGTATACAACAACAGCAGCAATTGCAACATTCATCGTGACCGAGCTAAAATGCAATTTGTATTCCAGAAAAAGCGACCATAAATTGAGAAATTAATAAAACATTAAATACAACTGTCATAATAATATATTTTTTTTGTATCATTAAAGCTCACCCGAAGTTTATTTTTTGCCTCGATAATCGACTGTTGCGGCGTTCGTTTAAGTCTGTAGTAAATTAGTCAATATTTATTTTAAAAAGACACATACGAGGTTTAAATATGAAAAATATGCTTGTTAGTGTCAAAACCAAATGTCAAAGTTATTGTGATGTCAGCTCACGGTTCAGGGGGACAGATTTCCATGATTCTTGAATCAGTTTGTGTCGATGCCGGTATTTCACTTCGAATATCACAGAAATATAGCAGGAAAATTTTGTTAAATATAATTTTTAAATGTTTTAATCATAATTTTTAAACGCTTCGAATGGTAACAAAAAAGTGGAAACGACTAAGTCGAATGACGTTATTCATTATTACTTCGAGATGAAATTTTCAATTGATGGGAAACAGATAAATTCATTTTAGATCAATAAAATAATATAATTTATTTAAATTGATTAAAATTTATTTCCTAAGATATTTCTCGATTCTGGGAAATTATTAAAAAATATACAGCAGGGTAAAAAATTCATTCAGAATTTATTAATTAAATTGTACAATTGCAAGCTTGTTTAAATCGTGTAAAAAAAAACCAAATATTGATAGTACATATTTTATTAGTAAGAAATCAGCCATTGATTTAGTTTTATAAGAACTACGCGACTCATTAAAAAAAACGCTGAAACGAGACTAAACGCGAGAATAAATCTTAATATCCTATAACCTATAATTTAATTTACGCGCGCACAATTATGATATTATGTACTTAATTACGTGTTATGAGATTATGCTATTCGGCGAAGATCATTAGTTCTTTTTTGGTTTAGATATAACATATATTGATACGCTACTCAGAAAGTATCTATATCAAAATAACGTAAGAAGAAAATCAATATAAACGATCGAATGAATTTAAGTTAGCGTAAGACCAAATCGTTGCGCTATTTCCGGAGAATGAGTGGTTGCGACCGCGAGTAAAAGTGGTATGTCGGCTGCATCGAGATCAAGAGCGTTCGTTAAGCTGCTCACATTGGCGTCGGACTCTGCCATAGACATCATCATCTCCGCCAAGGCTTCGCTTCTCAACCATAATTCCCTCAGTTTAGCCTCCAAAATCGCTATACACTGAAACATCAGTTTGACTCAAAATATTTACTTATTTATAAGAAAAGATTTACATAGAGAAAATAAATTTATTTTAAAAAAAGTTAAAAGAGAGAGAGAGAGAGAGAGAGAAATAAAGAGAGAGATGTGGATTGAATTGCGATGGAATAAAACTCACGTGGGTAGGAGAGTGGTATTTTCGCCATACATAGGCGAAAGATTCCAGCATATTCGACACCAGACGCGACATTCCGACCGGTAGCGGAGGACTTTGCCAAGGCATGTTATTCGATAAAATTCCGACGTGCCATGTGTCCAGGTCAGCCAGCACGCAGAGTGCTTCCGCAACCGGTTGATCGATCATCGGAAATCGAGCGCTGGCCATAACTTCTTCCCGCATGTACGACCACCACTTCTCCTCCGATTCAATCTCGGGATTGTCCTTCTCATCCTCTAGCTTTTTCCTTTTTCTCCTCTTCTTTTTCTTAGTTATGCCTTGTAGCACCAAACCCCACGTATAGCCTGTATTTAGAATGTTAGACTCGTCATTCGTCGTCTTATTCCGCATGAGAGTTTTCGTGAAGCCCATTTCTCTAACTAATTCTGCAGTTTTGACCTGTGGAATTTTTCTCGATCTGTAACAAAATAGTTATTATTGAATTATTTTTGATCCAAATAAAAAATTAATAAAAATAAAAGGGGAAAGAAACAAAATTATTCTGTTATAAAAGTGATGATCTCTATATAATGAAGTCATGGAATCCGTCGTGTCCAAAGATCTAGATTTTTAATTAACATAATTTCTGCACGACTTTATTACGAAGAGATTAATAAAGACTTCATTTGAACGGATATTATACTAACTGTGGCATTGGCAACTCCACGACACTGTTGGCTTCCATCAGAGCCTCAAGACTGTTGGACCGCGACAATTTGAGAGTTCTACCACCTTCGGAACTTCCGCACGTGCGCAACACCTCCGTCGCATTCGTCGGCGTTTCCAACACTTGCTTACTACTGTCATAATCTTGCGAGGCAGCGTATCCCTGACCGTTGCATTTCAAACAAAAGCCTATGGACCTCGCACCCATGCTGGATGCCGCCCCCGGAGGCGGCTGTATGCTCTTTGACGATTCGGGAAAATTTCGCTGGATGATTTTCCTTAGCACACCCTCGGGAAGTTGCGCAGATGTACTAGGCAGTCTCGTGAAAGTGTAAGAGCATTGACAGCTGTTGCCGAGACGCGGTCTCAACGGTAACTTCGCGGGCTTGTCTTCCCCGAGGGTGAAAAAGACCTGCGATTCCTTGAACTCGTCAACGAATCCACCGTTCACGTTAAGCGGTAACTCGGGTCTACTGTAGAACATCTTCAGCGGATCCACATTGTTATTCAGCTGATGATGCAGCTCGGTCTTACCGGTCGCAAGACTCTCCTCGGTATTGTGCGCATCCAACTTCTTTTCGAGGCCTCGCAAAGGAAACGTCGGGAAATCTTGAGACTGATGTCCCTTTGACGTGATATCCTCCTGCGACCCGACCTCGCTGACAATTATTTTCACTTCGCTCGACATTTTACAATTTTTCTCGCTGTCCTTAAGCCGGTCCTCCTGCAGCAGCTCGTATTTCTCGCTCTTGTAATTTTCGCGCAATGAAAATTCTTTTATTGGAAACTTGAGATCTATCGGCGCCTCGGTAGATTTCGTCATGAGCGTGTCAAGGTCGGATTTCATGGTGCCGCTACGCTTCAGGGGACTGACGGATCGTGAGATCCTCGGTCGTTCCGCAGGATACCGTGGATTGCATTGTGCGTTAACATCGCCGGTTCCAGTCTCGGGCGATTGTGTCGACTTGCGCGACGATAAAACGCGCGAATCGCATCTGCGAATCGAGGCGTCTCGATCGTTGAACGCGCACGACGACCTCCTGTTAACGAACAGATACGGATGTTTGCTGCGAGCTTGCTCCAGCATACTCGTCGCCATCTGCACGTCTTGCTGCGACGTGCAACGATATTCCTGGCATTTCCGTATCGTTCCACTGCGGATAAAATAAGACAGAAACGACAGAACGGAATTAATCAATTCGCTTTTTCGAGGATCGCCCGCAATTACGGTATGCGCCACTTTCACGGGGTTGCCTAGTGCGCCATACAGGTCACCAAGTTGTGCCCACAGTGGATTGCAAGAATACCAGCTACCTAGTTTCTCGATCTGAAAATAGAGATGAATTATCACGAAGATCTCAATAAATTCTCGGATGGAATTAATAACTATTTGATATAATATTTACATAATTAATATGTTAATCCTTATTATTGAAACTTTATAATTTATTAATTATTAGTTTTTTCTCTGTTAATATGCTCTATATACTGTTAATAAATTTGTGAAAGATTTTGCTAATTTTTCATTCTAGTTATTATGAACAGTTCAATCCGATACGTACAATTTCTGTACTTAAATCCAAAATTCTTCTCAGCTTTGCTACGATTTTAAACTCACCATATGCCGATCGCGCGGTGATAGCACGGTGTACACCCAGCCGAGATGATACGTTAATACGGCAGTTACCACGGTGCTTAGGAAACTGAAAGACGCTGAAATAAATATCGGGACGTTCACTCAAGCCGATGATCTACGCTCCTACACTCACAAATTTGTCGATTTCGTATCGAGCTCGTCGAACAACTGACACATTTGTTGCAAACTGCGATGCAAAGTATTTGTCTTGTCGTTCACCGTCACGGAGTTAAGTAGAACGTCGTGCCACAACAGAGGCGTGCGGGCGTTAGCGTCGACATCAAGAAGTATATGCAACAGCGAAATGACAAATCGAGACATCGCCCTGCACATTCTATCTGTCAACTGCACTCTCTTGCAGTTGGAACTATTGATGTTGCTTGTCTCGATGCAAAAATATCGCAAACGATCCAGCATCCCTTCTAAGAGAGCCATGTGTTCTAAAAGCCGCGTCTTCATCTGGCTGTAAATTACGAATATTTTCATCCTTTTACAATTATCAATTTTTCTTGATCAGAAGTACACATCAATATTTATTTATACTGTGCATTAAAAAAAAAAACTAAAAATCTTATAGTATTTTACGGAATAAATAAAGATAAAGAAGATCAATTTGGCTGGCTTGGTTTATAATAGACAACTATAATTTTAATTCGAAATCAGTCCAAGACGCGATCATATAATATATTTTCTCTTCAAATCTCTTAATTTTTTAATTTTTCTTTTTCAATTATAATACATACAGCTTTTATTTTTTATAATCAACAAAGTTTATGCTTAAAATCACTATGCCTATATTCAAATGAACGTTTCCTTTTAATTTCAATCAAAAACCATACAAGATAATGTTACTTTATACCTTTCATGGCCCTGAGCCAAACGCACTAACATCGTCAATCCCAGCCTGGTTTTGTGTCGCTTCGTGTGTCCGTCACGCCCGTCATTTCCGTTCTCGTTCCAGTGCATCCCGAAAGCGTCGTCGGAGTCCGATCGTCCGAGGGAAGTCGAGACCGCCCTCAACCATCTTCTGCGCAAGCTGGTGAGACTGCCGATCCCGGACGATCCGTTACTCTCCAACGATTGCGAACCTGAATCAGCGTCGCGTGAGCTACGATGCACTTCCGACAATGAATCGCTCTTATCATTGACATGAACTTACTGCCCGTCGGCGGAGCTATGTCTATGTCCCAGCCGCTGCCGATACTCGAGCACGTCGAACTCTTTCGCGGACCCACGTGCGAATCGTTACTCGATAGATTTCCAGAGCTCGGCCGGGACTCTGCAATGGAAACCTAATCAGGATTTATTCTGGCGCTACCTTTGAGAACTCTTCCAAGTATTTTTCTCACACTTGATTGATTATTGTGTCGTCTAGAATTAAATGGATTATTGTAAAAAAAGAAAATTGATTCAGAATAAATGTGAACCCTAATTTCATTTCGTGAGAAGCCCGCTTTTCTCATAGAGTTTATTTAATCGAAACGCTATTGAAGAAGTTATTGAGAAGAAGAATTAACTTTTTATGAAAGAGTAATGATATATCGTCGATATATGTACTTACGAAATGACCGCATACTAGTATTACTGGAAGTAGAATCCACGTGCATGGACCGTCCCAGTCCTTCATCCGAGGCTCTTTCACTGCAGTATAATAAAAAAATCAATAAAATTGAACTATATATAGTAGAAAAGATCTTTGAAGGAATCGTTGAAAATAGTTTACCTCGTCTTGCACGTGCCATGTTCCGTCGCCGGAAAGATTTTCGTGCACATGATGCACGAAGGGGAATTCATCGAGTGAACCTTTAAATTGAAGAAACAAATCAATGATAAAATAAATCTCGATATATTTTTATATGAAAAATTTAAGGACAATTATTTCAAGATCGATCTACCTTAAACGACGACCCCCTGTATGTCATTGCCACGGTGCCGAACACCATTTCGCTCAGGAGACTCACATCATCTTCCACAGTTTTATCTCGCTGAAAATTTTAGACGCAACATTTCGTTAACAATTTTATCCTTATTACACGACTTTAAATATTATTTAATTAGAAAGTAAATTAAAAAAGAAACAATTATTTAATTAAGTTTACGTTTATAATCCGTCTTATAATTACTAATATATGAAACTCGATGATTACCTCGAAATCGCGAGTAATCCCTATATTAAAGGGCGTCTCGCATTTTCTCTCCGCATTGTTGTTCACTGTAGTGCACACGGTTTCGCTTTTACTTCGATGCTTCTGCACTGTCATCGAATCGAACAGAAGTTTCCTACCGCGCCATTCACATTCTCGAAATAGCAAAATCCGTACTTGATCCGCTTCAACTTGCAACACGGAGTTCCTATAATTTCATGGAATGCATCATTTTATTTGGAAGCTCTTTTTATATGCAAGACGTTTAAAATAAATAATGAAAATAATAAAAAGGAATAATATAATAAGTATAGAAATTTAACATCTGATTTTTTTTTTAAGAAAAAGAACATTTAATTCAAGGATTTTTAAATTTTTTCGATATAATAATACAAAAATGAAATTAAAACATAAAATATTAAAAATGTCAAATGCAAAAAATAAAATTTACAAATTAAATTGTTACAAAAATATCTTTAAATCTCTAATTACGAAAATAAAAAAAGTAAAAGGCCTGAAATAGTGAATATTTAATATGACAAATACAAAGAAAATAAAATAGCTTCAAATTCTATAGGTTGAAAGTCTGTATTAAAACATTTCCAAGATCACAACTTTTATATTATATTTATTTTATTAATATTTTATTAAGTCTTGTTTAAAATCATGCTCATTTATGTATATAATAATTTCTTTATATAATAATTTGTACGGTCTTTGCTTATGTTAAATTGAAATCAATAAAATAAAAAAGAGATTAAATCGCTCAGTAATAAAAACTAAAAGTAAGTGAAGTGAACAGTATGAAAATTGAGTCAGCCTGTATAAAAAAGTTTGCTGAATCTTTCACATCTCCCTCAAATGGAGAAGCCTCGAAGCGCTTTGTCGGCGCGACGCGCGTTAACTTCGACGTTGGTAAAACAGCCGCAGATACGAGAATAGTGGAGAACGGAGCCAAGTAATCGCAAAGAAGCAGGTTAGGGAAACGACATAAGCGTCAGTTTTTATTATAAAATTCCAAGCTTTCGGTGAGCCACCCGATAATGCAACGCTATTATGACTTTTCTTTTGCCGCGCGAACGATACAGAGAGATGTATTTCGCTCCGTTTTCTTTCCAAAGCGCGAAATTCTGTCTTTACTCCGGCATTAATATAGAATGACAATGTGATTGACAAAAGATCGGTATGATATGTAATAATGCAAGGCATAACGCGATTAATGCTGCGCGAGCCGCGCCTGAAGATGAGAGATCCACGAGTCGGAGCGAAAGCGCGCTCCGAAATGGAGCAGCGCGATCTCTCTTGCTCACCTATCATTCTCAGCTGTTCGCGCACTGGACACTAAGCTCTCAGCACTCTCGCGCGGACTGCTCTTCCTCGCAGGTAGCAGCTTATCGAGCAACGGCATCATAAAGCCACGGGCCTGCCGTCTATAGTTCATCACATCGCCTCGCGGATCGGACCTGCGTCTATCATGTCACGCGGAACTGCACCATACATGTTCTCGCGCGGGTATAAGTCTCTTACTGTAAATAAAGTCACGTGCGGAGGAGTCATATGATTGCCCGAGATAATAGCTCAGCGTCAGGCTGCAGCGGATGGCACGGTCGAGGCCTTTCGACCGCAACTTGGTGGAACGATCTCCTACGAGCGCCTTTCAAATCAGGCCATTCATACAATTTTCTCCCTTGGGAATTTTTGCCGCAGATGTGCAGTATTTTTTTTCTCCGTGCGTATAGATTTTTCCAAGAATAATTATAAATCATGAAAAGTCATGAACTACCGACTGACGGCTTTCGCTGAATCATCAGTAGATCCCGCAAGATGGAGACACCCGTTAGATTGCGTCAAAGCAAGCGGTCTCTTTGAAGTCACAACAGGTCCGCTGATATCGGTGTATTCGCGTCGTGCATTTAAGGGTCAACGATACCAGCGTCAGACTATTTTGGTCTGTGATGTCAAAAGGGAGGATTCGCGCGCAAACCATGTCTGCAATTTATGTCCATATAAATAATTTTTCTTTGACAAAATCGCTTTAGTTTTTAATAAAAGAGAGGATGAATATTTTTAGAATAACATGTCAAGCTAATTAATCTAATATAATACAAATTAAATGTACACGTACAATAGCTTATTACGTTTTTCGAATTATGTATTATTTTGTAGACACCGTTTATGTTTTGCATTCGAATGTTCTTATATAGCAAAATAATAGTGCGAAACAATAGTTCAATTATTGTAATTATAGCGATAAAGTAATTAGTTGTATTACAGAAGTGATAGCTTTCAAGCAGCTTATATAATTTCTCACGGAACTCACGACGTCGAAAAATGTTCTACGAGTGATCACGTTAAATATGCATTTAAAATTACGCGCAGATATTTGCGAAATCATGTTTTACATATGAATTTCAATCGATCCGCTTCATCATCCGCTCCACGTCGAAGTGGAACATCGTCGTCGACATTTCTGCGCATTTTGTTGTCCAATATCAGGCGATGAACGTACTCGGCATTCTCGACGCCCGTACGAGATACCTCGAAGGCTCTCTTAATATAGTTCTTATTGGACAACGGCAAATAAACTGGAAACTCGATGTTGAACCACATTATTAGATCGCCCTTTTGCTTCGGATTTGCGGGGAATGGCATTCCCTCGCCTGGCACACGTTTGGTGTAACCTGGCCTGTAAGATGTAAAAGAACAGCGAAAATTTAAGTAACATTCGTAAAGTTATGTAACTTGAAGAGAAAAAAGACAAAGATTCAATCGCGAAATTGAATAATATTAAATAAATATTAATAACATCTGTGACAATTACGTCATCTTTTATACGAAACTATTTAAGAGCTTTTGTTGGGTTTGAAACAAACTAATCTAAAAGATATCTGTGGAAATAGTGGAGCGAAACGCGACCGAGGGAGAAAGAAACGAAAGAGACATGATGCAATTTTATAACGGTTTTTCGTACGCAACGATTGACGTTATTGGAATCCGAAGAGTTCTGTCGTCGACGGTGTTGAGCGTGATCACCGTTCCGGTCAGCGCCTCCCTCAGAAAGATATCGACCGTCGTGTGCAAGTCCGAGCCCTCTCGCCGGAACGTTTCGTGAGGCCGATCCTCCGTGACGAAGATAACATCCGCTACGCTGACAGTGTCTTGGACTTAGTGAAGATATCACCCTGCCTTGTTTACGATTAGTCTTCAACCCTAATTATTCTACGAAACCCGCATTTTGTCACGTGACGATAATCGTAAATTGACCGTCTCATCTTTATTGTATTATCAATTACGCGAATCTATTTCATTGTGAGTCAATATTATTTTTCATTATTTTATCAATTTATTATAAAAAAGAACGTTATAGAGAAAATACGACCAATCATTTTTTTGTTAACTACAAAGGGCTAAAACTTAGAGTAAGAGTTAAACTTTAAATTCTATAAGGAACATTCTAGTTTTTTTAACACAGACAATCGTATGCTTTTACGATTAGCGTAAAAATAGAGTTTGATCAAAGGTGCGAAGCTACGAAAGGGAGCCGCGAAAGAAAGTCTATCTGTTTTATTATCGCAATTATATAGTAATACTGCAGCGACCGTGGTTACGAACGTAAGCCAAGCTCAAGGAAGATCAAGGAGGCAATGGAAGGACTTACCGGGTATCTTCGCAGGTCCTTGATCACCCTCTTCTGGAAATACTATTCTGGTACCTGCTGGGATTCCCGGCTTAATGGGTATCGTCAAGATCTTCTCCATCGACAACGTCGTCGACTTATCGTCACCGACTAAAACCAACTTCTGGATCTTCATTTTCTTTATTCCGCCAAAAAATACCTGCGACGAAACGTTTCCAGCTGTCCGATTACACGCTAGATTACATTTGTCCCCCATTTCTTACGACACCTTCGTACATTAAATATAATATCATACATTGCGTGTATAATCCACGTTTAATTTTTATTGTTTTACACGAAATCTTGAATTCGAAATTTTATAACGTTGGTAGTAATATAGGGAGAAAATTTTTAATAACTTCGTGAATGAAAAGATACAAAAGAACAGAAAAATACAGTATGTGTGTATATATATACAGAATTGAGAGCTGGAGTAAAAGAAAAAAAGATTTATAAATATAGATCAGTTCTCACTTCCGACAGAGTTAGAAATAGGGTTTTAATCAAGGGCTTTTCCTTCCGCTTTACACCCCGACCCTCGGGAAATTCAAGTAGGGGTTGAGGCTCTGTTAGAATATTTAGAAGATCGTCGTACGGATTTTCAGTCGCAAAGAATTCTCTAATGATAAAATTCGCGACGGGCATTAACTCATTAGAATACCGAAAATCTTTTTAAAGACTCAATCATTTTATTGTGACTTAATTTTAAACGTAATTTATCGAATATATATAATAAATATTTATTTTGAAAAATAAGTAAATATATTCTTTTTTCTCTAAGGAAAGGAAAATGCTTTAAATATATGTCACACATTGTGTGTGACCGCGATGCCAATATTAAAATCAGAATACATAAATTCGCGAGTTATTTACAACGGTGAGAGCTCAATGGCTCTTGGTTCCACCTAAAGGTTTGCATCGGCTCGCCGTGATAAACGTAAGGTTTCACGAATCCTTCTGGTCTCGGCACACCATTTTTAAGACCCTCTTCACCGTATTGATCATACACGGCCCTTCTAAGAGGATCCGAGAGCACGTCGTACGCTTCAGCTGCTAAGGCGAAAATCGCCTCTGCACCTTGGTTCTTTTGCTGGACGGGATTGTATCGTATAGCGCATCGTCGATATCTGGAAGAAATAATCGCGCTGTTTCGTCGGTGCGATACGTTTTTCACCTCTCTTTACTACCATATTTTTTACGTAAACCATACAACACTTGAAAAATTTTTCACGAAATATTATTTAATATTACAAAGAAAAAGTATTATATTACATTTTAGAAAAATAATTTCAATATCATTTATAAATAAAATGATATAATAACAAATTTTTGAAATAAGGATTCCTACTTTTATACGTTCCTAAAGAGAAAAAATTATGCTTACGCTTCCTTAATTTCCGTATTGTCACAATTTGTCCCCAACGACAAAACTTTATAATAGTTTAAGCCATGTTGGGCGCACACACATTTTTCGCGTGACGCATTTATATTCAGATCACTCTTCGAAGCTTGAGAAACCATGCCGAAAAGTAATGGTGCAAAGAATAATGCCGATTTCTTTTGAAAAATGACGTTTATTTGCCGCGAATGTCTTTTATTTCCTTCACCATCGTTGATCGCGACAGAGGGATCGGCAATAAGACGATCGGTGCATCGTCGTTACCTGTTTTCAACAACCGACGACAACGAAAGCGTCTGTATTTGCGTGCCGACATTTCGCCATTATCAAGAGGGGTTCGAGTGCATTCTTAAACGCGGATAACAATACATGAAATCGGTCTTCCGGTCCCGGCGGGTCTAATCGACGAATTTTTATCGCTATGGAGACTCGCGAACGTGTCTCGAATTTCGCCGTAAAAGGTAAGCGTATAAAATCGCGTTAGGTTCCTAAACATTTCATGACGCGACAATTGCTTGGAGCGCACGGCTAAACGCGCATTGAATAATGCAAAGCGAGAAATATCGCGTGAGACATCTTAAAACAGTTCAAAGTAGAAATGATGTAAAATTTAATATTTAAAAAATGTAGAAAAAGACATTTAAACACAATATATCTTATCTAGAAATGATGCAATCAGACGGCTATTAATAACAATGAATAATATAATGTTTCTCTATGTGATCATAATATTAAATATATAATATTAAATAATAATATTAAAAATATATTTATGAAAAAATATTAAGACTCAATCGAATAATATCACGGTTGTTAAAAAGAATGATCTTAAATAATATGTTTTGTGTATATTTAGAGGAACCGAATGAAATTTGCGAAGAAAAAATATGTGTTCGCGACAGCATCGACCGCGGAAAGGTCATCGTTGTGGTATCACCGACAGAGACAAAACCGCTCGCTTCCAGTGAACATTTGAAGAGTAAGAAGAGCAATAATAACATGAGCTTCCTCAACGTTATCTCTTCTATGCATTCTCTTGTAAAGAAGAATTTTGATAACGACGACGACGACGATAAGAAAAATATTACAATAAAGCCTGATCCCGATGAGCCGAAGCAATCGTGTCGCAACCGTGAGGTGGACAAGATTTTTCCTCGGCAACGGCAGCGGACACAGACAAATCGATCGCCGAGACGCAAAAGCACCGGTATCTCGACGTTGTTGTGCATCGACGGCAACAGACTTACGGATGCGGTGGCGGCTGGAATTAAACGCAAGATCCCAAGACCTGCAAACGCCTTTATGCTGTTCGCCAATGAGTGGCGGAGGAAACTCGCTGCAGAGAATCCTCGGGAGTCCAACAAGGACATTAGTGTCAGGCTAGTCTTTCTTTTAAAAAGAACATCAGTGTCAGGCTGGTCTTTCTTTTAAAAAGAACATTTGTTTCTGTCGGATAAAAATAACGTAACTTTTAAAGAATTTTTTTTTAATTTTGAAAATTAAACTTTGGGGAGGAAATAATTGAAGTAAAGCTTAAAGATTGTTTCCATAAATTGAGTGAATACTCGATTTCTTAATGAAGAAATATAAGTTAAGAAGTACGTATAAATATTTGTTATATTTATTTTCCACGGCCTGTCTTTTTTTTTTAAACATAAAATTTGTGCGTAAAATTATATTATATTCGAAGACAAAGTGATTTTATTTCGTTCCATGTTTCTTTAGGCTAGGCGTTTTTTGGAAAAACATGTCCAAGGATGTAAAGGAGAAATATTTTGCACTGGCGCGTGAAGTGGACAGGGAGCATAAGAGAAAGTATCCTGGTATGTCCTGTAGCAATAGTTCTTTTTAACGTGACCTCATTAACACGCGTGGATGAATCGTTCGCGTTTCTCGATTTATCCGAACGCGCTACACAGCTACCGCGATAGATTATCGCATTCCCATGTAACGAACAATGTGAGGGAACAAGATAACGGGGAAAGAAAACATCCGATAAAAATCTTCGGAATGTGTCGTGGAGCTACCGTGAGCTGACGGATCTCTAAAATTAGACAATTTTGTTACTTTCACACCGCGTGCACGACATCCCAAAGTGTCGGGCCACCGTCTATAAATAGCCGGGTTGGATTAGATATCGATCGCTGGCGATAAGTCTGTCCGCGTTATCAGTCGACGAAAACGAGAAGCCACCGCGCATCGGCGCTAACGTCTCACCCCCCAGTGATCGTCCTTGATCCAGGCGCACATATCGTTCGGTCCCCAGATATCGATATCACTTGTACTTGTAACGTGACGTATTCCTATCCGAAAAGGATACCGCTTACGTATTAGTATATTTGCTACGTCGCTCTAATTAATATTATAATATTGATATAACTGATATTATTATAATATTAAATGCTAGTTAACCTCTCTTCGATTAATGAAAAGTAATCTTTGATTATCTTTTTGGTCTATACATGACGTCGCGACTGAAATGTCAGATCTTTATTAAAGTTCATGTCAACCAGGGGGAAGAGGGGGGGGGGGGGCGCAAGAAATCGGTGTCGCGGATCCCTCGAACGCGATTGTAGGTCGCAAACGATGGTGACGGCGACGGCGGCAGCGGTGACGACGACGAGCGTGAACGATCCTCGCGGGGGCGGCAAAGGGTGGACGCGGGAGGATGCGAGTTTTGCGGGTCGAGGTACAGGGTGGCGAGCGGAGAGAAATATTCTCGGGTGAGTGACGCGGGGAGAACGCGCGGGTGGGAACGGCGGAGAGAGAGACCGGAGGTATTGATTGCGACGCGACTCTAGGAACCTGCCCGATACACGACCGCCGGCTCTACCTACCTACTGCCTACACCCACCGAGGCCGAGCTAGCGAGCGAGCGAGCGAGCGAACTAGCGAGCGATTATGCTTCGTATATCCCGCGTCGCTGCCGCGCATTCGTGCGCGAGAGGAACGTCGCACGTCCGCCACGAGCGCGTGCA